AAAATACTATTAGATAGTTTGTTCCATGGGAACCACGGGATCCGACCTACGCGCGTTCTTCACACGCGCGCTCGTGCGTGCGTGACACGCGAACGGCCATGACTAGCTCCGAGAAAGATCCGAGTAAGTGTTCGTTCTCGTACAGTCAGTATCATAAGCCTTGTAAAGAATCGCACGATCCGAAGGATCGTAACTTCTAACAAAAAGGATTATCGTTCGACTATAAATACAACTTTTTTTTTTTTTATTTCATTTCTTTTCTCTTTCTGCGTGTGTGTGTGTGTGGTGAAAAATGGGTATATAATTTCATGGAAGTGGTATAAGGGAGAGGAATATTATTAAAAAAAACAAAAAGTACTATCTCATGGTGAGAAAGTACTTTTCGTTATTAATCGTGTTCAAAGTTGAGAATGAGAAAGATGGTAGTCGTTACCAACAGATTGTACAGATTCACGAGTGAACAGACGCGCATAGGTATGACATAATCCAGACGCTTTGCACCAAATGCATTATTCATCTTCCATGAAATCATACACAAGAAAAAGAGAGAAAGAGAGAGAGAGAGAGAGAGAGAGAGAGAGAATAGCGTGATACGAAACGTCTCCGCATTTAAATACAATTCTCCGGTTTGATTATTATTATTATTTAGCACGTTTTAAAAGCGAATTACGTATCAGCTTAAAGGCGCCTCTTTTCTATCGTTAGACATTACTTACGCGTACATGATTCACGAGACTTTATCTTTATGGTGGGTGAGTAACGTGTCGGTGGTTGGTCTGGATAACAATGGAGAAAGCCATGAAGAACTTGAACGAATCCAACAACGGGTAGTACGTATTCGCAGTGAACGATCGCGAGCCACGTCATCGAATCGTTTCTTCTTCTTCTTCTTTTTATGTGTTAACTACTTTTTTTTTGTAATGCTTTTTTTTTTTTATTGTTTCTTCGAGAATACTTTTCAAGTTTCGTTTGATCATCGAATCCTCGTTAATTTTGACTCGTCTTTGATTTTCCTTCTCGCATTAGATATTTAATGTATTGTCAATAAATAAGATAATTTCAAGGTATCTCGCATAAATCGCGTAGACTGTAAATGTGGCTATATGATAAATGAACGCGCGTGAATTATACGAATTCGAAAATATCCTCGGCACGTGGGTAATTTATAAATCATAACAGTTGGCCATTCTCCTTTCAGTTTCTAACCACAGACACGGACTTGATCGACATCCAGAATCGTAGGCGTTATTGGACGTCATCGGGAATGGTCCCAGAGGTTGTCCTTGAAAAAATTCAAAGATTCTTTTATGGAAACTTTAAATGTTCAAATAATCAATCGATCGGTATCGTTCGTTCTTTATTTTATTATAATTATCTTGAAAAAAAAAAAGTATTCAAATGTGATACTGAATATATGTCTACGTCATCGATACTGTCCCACGCGTATCGCATAACCGAACAAGATGGAAAGGAGAGAAGATTCTTCCTTGCATCTTCCCTCTCGTTTAACGACGAACATCGATAATATACAACACAAGTATCGATAGAATATATTTGAAGATTTTTAAACGACGTTTACTGGTCAGATTACTTCTATCCATTCGCTACTACGAAAAACGTCTACGACTATGAACGATTATACCAACTTCAAAGTCCATTTATCTTTAACAACCGGCTACGATATGTGTGTGTGTCTGTCGTAAAGTATAAATATTGTTTAAGATTGATGACCGGCTAATTTTATTCAGCCAAATGTATGTGTTTTACCGTTATTAAACACAATATATAAATATATTTATATTTGCATATACAAGAAAGGAAGTAAGAATAATGAATGACGAATAAGAAATAAATTACGAAATTTTTAACGAGGACATCGATGAAATTCAAAGTTGACGAAAAAATATGAGACTAATGTATGAGGATGGATCGAAAAGTTTTGAGCTTATACCTTTCCAACAATAAATTTTGAGACTACGTCACAAAATAATAGTGAGTTTTAAACGGGAAAGAAAATTGTTCCAACGTTAGACTCAAAATTTTTCGATCCACTCGTGTACATACGAGAATAGAATAAAGTATAAAATGAAGAAATAAATTAATTGTGACTTTTTTTCATGAGGATACTGATTATACTGTGCAAGATATTAATGAGGTTGAAACTTGAAAAAATGGTTAAACAGAACGGTTCGTAAAAACGGTTCGTCTTCGAGGATGTCATCTACACTTTTTCAACGGACGTCATCGTCGAACCGACGAGTAGCCAAAAATAATGTTGACCGAAACGAAGGGTAACGTTTAATCGCGTTTAGTTGCTTGAACAGATTTACAATTTTTCTTTTTTCTTTTTTTGAGTTAATAATGTTTCTTTGTTTTGTAGTTTCCGGTCAACGAGAACTAAAACGAGAGAAAAAGGAAAGGAAAAAGATTAGAAAATGTTGAATACAACCTGGGAACAATACGATCAACCAAGAAAACCATTTGAAAACTTATAAAACATCAGAAAAAGAAAAAAGAAGAAGGTCGAGAAAGAGGCAAAGGTGGTGTCGTCGGTTGCGATGATTGTGATGGGGGGGGGGGATGGAGGAAGAGAGAGAATTAGTTTTAATACAAAGCTGGGAGAAACATAATTAAAGTCACTTGTGTCTTGGCAAGAGAATGAATCTGCAAAAACGATTTTCTAGGAAGCTATTATTTTCAGTTCGGTTTACGCTAATGATCTCTGAGACAGAAAAGAAAACATCGTAAACGTTTAAAACGATGTAGCACAAAACAACAAGATTTTCCAGGTTCGTTCCTGTACAAGATTCGTGACACGAACAATTTTCAACGCAACAACAGAAAATGGAAAAAAAGAAAAGGAAAATTTAATAATTTACTCGCAATGTGTTCAATAAATTTGCAATTAGTATGTCTCTTATATACTATGCGGAGTTATGTTAATTAAGTGTTCTAGTCGTACGGCATATCTTAATTGCGTGCAAGTCAGCATTGCAATTCTACTTCGTCAAAGTACTTTTATTATTTATAATTATAGTATCATCGACAAGGGAAGAGAGAGAGTGAGAGAGAGAGAAAGAGACCCCATATTTTTACGCAATAGATACGATAGAAATAATAAGTCAGAAATGAATAAACTTGTGTGTGTGTGTGTGTGTGTGTGTGTGTGCACCGCCTATCTATCGTATACACACGTTCTAATAACTGCAATCATCTTATTTTTTATTTTATCTTTATTTCTTTTCTTATTTTTAGCGAAGATAAACATAGAATATTTCTCTCAACGTAATATTATATAATATTATATAAATGATGATAGTTGGTAGTTTAATTATTTTAACGCGCAATATATATATAACACGACAAATTATCCGTGTTCTAAGAAAACTGTTTGATCTCCAGAAAAAAAAGAAAAGGAAAAAAAAAGTATTCATTTAAAATAATTTTCATTATTATTTTTGATGGTAAAAAAAAAACAAAAAAACACAAAAAGAGAGAGAAAGAGTGTTCCGCTATGAGCGTGTCTATCTATCGAAACTCTCTTTCTATGATTTACGATAATCGTTATGCGAGGAAAGATCGAACGACGGGATATCGATAAAAGCCCGTCGGTCGACGTGCCGGATCGACACGGCGGGTGGCTAAATGCATCTGGAATATCGCCAAAATCAAAAATAAGCGAATTTTCGAAGGATATTACAAATCAGCCGATGGTCATTCGAATATGAACGGCATAAATGTCTCGTCGTATAGAAAAAACATATTTTTATTTTATTTCTAACAGTTCAAGAGATATGTAACACCAAAAATTACATACTTATAAACGAACAAATGTATAATTAATAAAAATGTATATCTGATTCCCAAATAGTAACAAAAATTAAACAATAATTGAAAGATTGTCCAGAAGAAGGGCCTGTGTTTAATTGTGTTGTTCTGTCTAACTAATTTGCAGTGTGTGTTACATAGACTTTTCTTCTTGACACCCATTCAATTATTGAATTGATCAATAAATCCGTACAGTTTTGTTCTAAATAAATAAAACTGCACATGGACTTATTGGTTAAGCTAATAAGATTATATTTATAAGTCGTAGAGATAATCGAAAAGGAAGTTCGACTCATCTCACATCAGCTGAATCACGTATGTATATATATAGATATACTCATATTATAAAAGAGAAAGAGAGAGAGAGAAAGAGAGGGATTAGAAAGATTTTCTAAAAATTGTCACGATCTATTTTGCAATTTTCTTATTAAATCCAGTCAAGCAGCTCTTCATCCTCCGTTAGTATAGCAGTCCGATGACGAGCATTCACCACCGCTCACGCTTTTCGAGTCTAATTTCGTATTTTTGAAAGCCGTCTCGATGGTAAGAAAATGAGAAAACGAAAAAGAGAAAGAGATAAAAAGATAGAAATTTAGAAAGATGGATAGAGATGGAGGACGGTTTAGTACGAAAGTACGGATCTTCCGCGATCCGTTTTTGCTGCTTATAAATCAGCGACGGCAGCGGTGGAGGTTGCTTGCTAAGAAAGAGATTTCAGATGCTCGGTGAGAGTCTGTGAAAAAGAGAAAGAGATAGAGAGAGAAAGAGTAAAGGGGTGAAGGGAGGGGAGGGGAGGAAGATGCTGAGAGAAAGGGACGGAGAGGTCAAGGGAAAGATTGAGTTAAAGGGGGTCGGATGGAAAGAACGATGAGAGGAGGAAGATGGAAGAGAGTGAGATCCTTTTGAGATCAACCGGTGACCAGTTTAGTTCTGGTTGGCATCGGGTACGCTCAGAGAGAGATCATGCGAGAGAAGAGAAACGAATCGAAGGGTATCCTTCTTCGAAACTGTCATTAAAAACACGACGCGAACGAGAAACGAATGAGACCGAGTTACGATTTCGCGTTCGAACGTTCAATATAATATTCTTTCCTCTTCCTTCTTCTTGTTCTTGTTCTTCTTCTTCTTCTTCTTCTTCTTTCCTTCATCTTCTACTTCGCCTTTTACTTCTCTCTACCACCTCCTCCCCCTCCTCCTCCTCCTCCTCATCCTCGTCCTCCTCCTGCTCCACCTTTTCCACTGCCACCACCACCCCCACCTATTCCTCCTCCATTACCTCGATGAGGAGAAATCGGTGCCAGTGAGTCTCGGATAATGTCAGACGACGGATCGGTGAATATATTTCCTCGTTGGATTTTTTCACCTACCACGTGACATTTTATAACAATTTTTGTTATCATCATTTTCGTCGTATTGTTTTCTTTATTGTTTATTTTGTATTTTTTTTATTCTCTTTTTTACGAACCGATAAGAGATTATTTTATTCGATTACGAGTCGAGAAAGCTGTGATAGATATTGTAAATAAATATTATCGCGTATAAATACGTGCATCGATTTATACAAAAATATACGACGAGTGTCGTGTATTTATTTTTCTATTTTTTTTTCTTTTTCCTTCCTAAACGATAGTGCAAGAAAAAATTAATATACAAAAGAGAAGAGATGAAATTTGTACGTTAATTGTCAAAATTTGTGTATCCTAATGAAAAATTACTTGGGAATTAAGGAAAATCATCGTTGAGGAGAGTAACAGTGAACGATAGAGAAAAGAGGGAAACCAAAAAAAAAAATAAACATTCCGTGATCTTACGTGAAAGGTGCGCGTCTAACTCTTTAACTATTCGAGTGACACTTCGACTTTCTCTCCTGCGTTGTAATTTGATGGTAGTAGTCGTTAACCGTGCGTGTCGTGCAATAAAACTTTAGTCGAATCGATCGATCGAATACTTGACGATTATTTTAAGACTTTTCTACGTGGATAGGAACATTCGATCGAATTAATCTACACATACTCGATTTAAGAAGAAGAAGAAGAAGAAAAAATAAACATTTAAGGGACCTAAATAATTTTATTTAAAAAAAAAAGAAAATAAAAGAGAGAAAATACCTTAAGTACAGTTTTGCGAAAAGGGTCGAAAGGAGAGAGTTACAAGATAGACTGTTGGTTGCTTGCTCTGGGTGATCTAAGAATACCCGACTGCGGGTGGATCGTTGAACCAGCTTTTCTCCTCTCTTTCCTCTCTCCACGTGTTGCGAGAGCCTCTGACTGAGAGAGAACTCTCTAACGAAAGAAATAAATCACAAAAACTTTCTCTTTCTCTCTCTCTCACTCACTCACTCACAGAAACCCGCTCACTCTTTCACTCTTGGTCTTTCTCTTCATCTTTTCTTGAAATCTTTTACGCGGGATCTCCCACAGTTCATTCGAAAAGATGTCCGGAGACACGACGTCGGACGAAGAGGGCTCACAAGAGGACTCACCCCGATACGACATCGATGACATGGAAATCGTCAAAACAATCGGTGAGTTCCCAATTCCCTCTCCCCATCTTTTTCTTTTTCTTCTTCTTCTTCTTCCTCTTCTTCTTCTTCCTTGTTTTTCTGTCTCTGTTCTCTCTGAATTTTACTTTTGTTTTATACTTTGTTTATCAATGACTCACGAGATCGAAAAATAAATCGGCGAACCGGTTTCGAGACAACGGTAATCCCCTTTGGCGATATGATCCGCTACCAGACGTTGCCGATTCTCTCCGAGATGTACGCTAGATTTTCATTATTATATTACATCTTTCTAAATAAAACGAAGAGAAAATTCGATACAATTTATATAAGAAAATTTTGTTTTACATCTAATTTTAATATACTTTTCTCTCTTTTTTTTTTATTTTATATTATATTAAATAGAAAATATATAATTGAAATAATATTTGAGAATAAGTTGACAAGTTTTGTGTCTATTCTTAAAATTTTGTTTACTTTGACCGAAAACATAATTGTTTCTAAATCTGTTAGGCTCAAAACTTTTCAGCACGCTCAGATATGTTACAACCGAATATAAATTTGTTGTTTTATCGTTTAAAATTAAAAAAGAAAAAAAAAGAAGAAAATAAAAAGAAACGAATTCTTGCGTAATCTCGTAAAAGATTCGATCTCTTGAAAATGGAATTACTAATGAAATAAGAAAGAAAAAAGAAAAAAATGAAAAAGAAGAAGAAGAAGAAGTGGGTCATTGGAAAGTGAGAGGAGCATCTCTTTCTCACAATAATATATTTAACTGCTCGTTAAATTCGAATTACACGCGGGAACGAAAAAGACGAAACAAGTTTCAGGAAGCAAGTGTTAATTCGGTAGGCTAGTAAAAAAAAAAAAAAAATTTGTATCGGCACGTTCTCGTTTCGATTGAAGTTTAAACGTATCCAACTAAAATTCAATTAGGAAATTCAATGAGGAAATATCGAGGATTAACTTTTCTCGTGAAAGAAAGTCCCGGAACAGACGGGTATCTAAGTTTTTAAGCCAAACAAATCATTTCACAATAAAGACACATTAATATTTTATCACGTAAGCTCGTTTAAAAGCTCGATTCTCATCCTCGTAAAATAACATACGAATGAACGGAATTAGATCGATCTCTCGAAACAGATGTGCTGTTCTTCTTTGAGACGTGTAACAAGCTTTTGGATCAAAACCAAACCGTTCTCGAGTGTCCACGAGTTATATAAAAAAAAAATAAAAGAAAAAAAAACAATTCATAGAACTCGGTGGCCTGACACTCAAAACCCCCCAGAGAAAGAGAGAGTAAAACATGCTCGTGTCTCTTGGTTATTCGTATTCGATATTCGAACAGAAAGCAAAAATAATTCATAGGACTCTCGTCGTAGTTCCGTGGAAAATAAACTTAACATTTTCCATGATGTGGACTGTTACGCTAAATACATGTGTTTGTGTGTGTATGTATTAAACATACGATTTCATATAATCTCGCAAGAAAAAAAAATAATATATTTATATTAAAATGTAAAATAAATCAGCAATAACATAATTTTTTTAGTCGAACTTTTGGAATCGAAAACACTGACGAAATGGTTGTTAGAAAGATTTATAGTAAAGATAGTACATACGTCTATTATATAAATATATATATATATATATGAATAGATTAACGATATATACATACATTTATAATCTGAAAATGATCGGTTGGTTAGAATAAAAATGATCGTATTTAAAGCGCACCTACGCCATCGCCGGAAATTCGTACTGCCGGCGTTGTTCCACACCGATCGACACCTGTTGTCAGCTGTCGTTGGCAGACCTCAGTGGTCGTTACCGTGTAAAAGGCAGACACGAATGTTCCTCACGAATCTTCCTGTAAGCTCATGCTGCCAAATTCGTTTGAGAGAAACTATCTATAGAAAACCGCGCCGTTCTAAACATAGTCATTTCTTCGATAATTTGTGTCTCCGATAAAAGTAACGCTGAGAAAGATACGAGGAAAGAAAGAAATTATACGTCTCTGTGTGTATGTGTGTGTGTGTGTATTATTTTTGTTTTGCAACGAAGCGATTAATTTGCTCGCCAAATTCAACTACTTGTATTCCCACCATCCCCACTTCCACCCATTTATTACCAACCGAGACACGTTCGGGTTAATTAGTCACGGTGCGTTAATCCTCACCAACTTTGATCATCGCAATCATCTTTATTGGAAAGCATGCTATAAACAAATTCCGTGTGCTAAATGTTTCTCTCGTATTTAAACGAACAGAGAAAGCGTTGATAATTGGGTGTCATTACAAAATGCATCGTCGACTTTTCGACTTTTCTTTTCTTTCTTTCTTTCTTTCTTTCTTTCTTTTGATTTCCATTTTTTTTCTTTTTTTCAAGAACATCTGTCACGTATATTTTCCAGGTACCGGAACATTTGGTAGAGTTGTATTATGCAGACATCGTGGAAAACCTCTCGCATTGAAGATACTCTCAATGGCCGACGTGATCAGACTGAAACAAGTCGAGCATGTTCGAAATGAGATCACGGTACTGAAAGAGGTCAATCACCCCTTCATCGTCAACATGTAAGCATAGGTATCTTTTGTTCAATCGTTTCGTTCATTCTTTTGACAGATTTCAACAAATTTAAAAGTACCTTTTTAAATGTATCAAACACAATGACTTTTATGAATAGAAACAAATTCAAATGATTTCATCAAATAATATTGTTTTTATTTATTAAAACAGTTATCCTGTTCATAGTTAAAACTAGTACATTGTAATTTGTTTTGTTCCTAACAATAACACGGATACACGCCTGAATTACTTCGACATACGCTTATATTTGAGAGAAAATACATTTTATGATTAAATTGTGTGGAAACATCCGCGTATAATTATCACAGTGTCGTGTATTATAAAATATAAATCGTAAGATAAATTAACATTATTTTGTGACTATTAAACAAAAATTGTATTAACATCTAATATCCTTAAAAATATTATTTACTTCTATCAACACACGTATATCCATCATAAAAAATTATTTTATAATAATACAAAGAGTAGCATGAAGAGAAAAGCGTAATTAGAAATCTAGCAAAGTAATATCGGGTAGAAGCTCGTTTAAACGATTCGCACTATTAAATAGAGATTAGCTATTCGCAGAGAAAGAAAGCAAAAGGAGGACGAGAGAAACGGATTTCTCAAAAGCAATTGTCGTCTCTGTTTCTTTTCCAGGCTTTGGAGTGGCAGAGACGAGGCAAGACTTTACATGCTATTCGAATTTGTAGCCGGTGGTGAATTATTTTCTTATTTAAGAGCAGCCGGAAGATTTTCGGGACCGACCAGTTGCTTTTACGCGGCTGAAATTGTTTGCGCATTGGAATACCTTCACAGCAAACACATCATTTACAGAGACTTAAAACCTGAAAATCTTCTCCTCGATAGCCAAGGACATCTTAAAATTACCGACTTTGGTTTCTCGAAAAAACTAACCGACAGGTAAAATCGGTTTAATTTATTCTACTGGTTTTTTTGATTTACAAAAAAAAAAAAGAAGAAATCATATCTCACATTTCTTTTGGCGTAATTTCAATTGGGTTAATCTTTTTCTACTGTCATAATAATCACCCTATAATTCTACGGGGATTTTTTGACTAGTATTTACATCTGTCAATCAACTCGGTCTACTTAATTGTAGTTCAAATCGTTGCTAAAAAGATTTGAAATTCCCTTCTTCTTTTTCTTTTTCTTTTTCTTGGTTAAAAAAAATAACGTGAACATTTTCAGAACGTGGACTCTTTGCGGTACGCCGGAATATTTGGCACCGGAAATCATTCAGAATAAAGGACACAACAAAGCAGTAGATTGGTGGGCTTTGGGTGTCCTAATTTACGAAATGTTGGCTGGCTTCCCACCGTTCTTCGATGATAATCCTTTTGGAATATATGAGAAAATATTAAGCGGTAGAATAGAGTGGCCTAAACACATGGATCCTATCGCGAAAGATCTCATCAAGAAATTACTCATAGCAGACAGAACTAAAAGATTAGGAAATATGAGACAAGGTGCTGAAGATGTTAAGAGGCATCGTTGGTTCAAGTTGGTCGAGTGGCCCTTGGTACTTCATTCATTTTCTTATTTATTTCTTATCGCAATACAACAATCGAGAATAACTCATTATTGTTTTATTATAAACCAATCACAAACAGGTACCTCAGAGAGCTTTGACACCACCGATCAGGCCAAGAGTTAAAGCACCTGGTGATCCAAGTTGTTTTGATGATTATCCTGAAACCGATTGGCGTTCACAACCAGCATTACCAGCTGACCAATTAGCACTCTTTCAAGACTTTTAGCAACAATCTATGAAGACTCATCTTCATATCTCATACTGATCGCGGTGATACGTTTCTATTGTTTTTACAAGTTCAATTCATAAGTTGTTAGAATATATTTATATATATATATATTATATATGTATATGCGTCGTTGGAAAAATATCTTTCTGTAAAGAAGGGAAAAAAAAAAGATTATTTTTTAAGAGTGATTTTTCATAAGAAACAAAAAGATTTCTTATATTGTAAATAGGCATATTTTTATATCTCCGAAAGCATGCACTTATTTATTTGTACGTTCTGTTTAAAGCGTAGTTGTCTGTTTTAAAAGAAAAAAAAAAAAAAAAAAAAAAGAAATTTTTATCGACAAATTGTAAATAAAAAATCGATGTCGTATTTTAAAACGATCATCACAAAACGAATTCTTATTAATATGTTCGTTGTTTCTTTTTTCTTTATATTTCTATATAAATGTCGATTATTTTTATTTATATCTTTACTACTGATATTAATAATTGAAATACGAATGCATACAATGGCGATTTGAAAGATGATAATACCCATAGCACGAATTATTTGAATAATTTATTTCCAACGAGAAAAAGCACATAAACGCGTAGTTGCACGCTAGATTTTCACCACATTCAGCAAACAGCAAACACATTCGATTTAAGTTGACAAGAGGAAGTTGGTAATAAGCACATCGACAAAAATTATGGTAATTTTAGTATTATAATAATATTTTTTTGTGTAATTTTTTGTTTTATTAGCAAAAACTTATCATTAAACTTTGACTAATAGAAAGAATATTCTGTTTCAGGAAAAATTCAACAGCAATGAACAATTCAAGCAAAGTATTCGTGACATCAGAAAGATTAATAATCAAATGATGTTGAAAAAAAACAAGTCAACGCTAATTTCGGCAAACGCAGATCGCAAAAAACGTTCGGTCAAAAAAATTCTTCAAGATTTCACCGAATCCAGTTCTATACACGGTGTTAAATATATCGGAATGCAAAGTATCGTTAAAAGTTCTATTGGAAAATTTCTATGGCTTATCATAATGGTCGCTGGATTTTTCGGTCCGATTTAAAACAATAAAATTAGATAAATGGTTTACAAATGTTCTTGATAATCATCAAATTTCAATATAATTATGTCTATGTATTTTAATAGGTGTGAATATTATGTTGAACAAATTTTTGATAAACTTGGAAAATAATCCGACCGAACTTCGCATCGAAACATTTCATTCACCGATTATCAACGCTCCATTTCCAGCGATAACAATTTGCCCTACCACGTCAACTATGCTTAAAACCCAATTGGATTTAATGAAAAATATTAAATTACCTGCTAATATGAGCAACGAGGAAGCGATGTTCTTCATTAAGTAAATCAAAAAAATATACTAAATGTACTTTGTATTTTACCAAAATGTTATGACAATAATTTTCTTTTTTTACAGATATGGAACTGATATAACTACGCCAGATATAGTTAGACATCCAAACCGTTTGAACAAATATAATGCACTTTTAAAAATAAATCAATGGACATTCACTGATTTTTTGGGAGCCATCAAACCTTGCAAAGATATGATCGAATCTTGTTGGTGGCACGGACAGCAAATTAATTGTACTGATAATATTAAACAATCTTATACCTATCATGGGATTTGCTGTTCTTACAATTATTATTTAGAATATCTCATGAAATATAACATGTAAGATAACAAAATTAATCGACTAATTATTATGAAAGTGTTGTAAGTTCACTTTTGAATAAAATTGAAAAAAAGAACACCAAATTTTGATGTTTTATTTACATTCAATAAAAATTATGTGTTTCTTTTTAATTGTTTTTTTCCAAACTAGACTTACAACCACTTTCATAATAAATGATTCATTTCATAGATAAGATATCTAAATCTTATAAATAATTTACAAACAATCTTAAAATTTGTAGACGTTTCCAAGAAGTACCCGTACTTCACTCGGTTAAAACTGGATCAAAATCTGGCCTCACTATAATATTCAATCGTGATTTATTTTTCGAAGAGAACGAAACTAAGAGAACCTATTTTGTAAACACCGTCAAACTTTTGGTACGATATTTAATCAATTTATATGAGGGTGAATTGAATAGTTCAGCCTATGTCAAAAAATGAGTGAATTTGACCGAAAACAAAAATTATTTCTACTTTAGGCTTAAAATTTTTCAACCAACCCACGTATGTACTGTAACATAAACATATATAAATAAACGAATTTGTTGTGCAGGTATTTGTTCATCACACGATGTCTTATCCAAACTCCGAGACTGTTGGATATCCCTTGCAGAAAGGACAAGAATTAGAAGTTCGTTACAATGAAATGAATAATCTAAATGAATTGTTTAATATTTGACGATTATTTGGCTGATATTTTTATTTTGTTTTTGTTCTAGTTAAGAGTGCAACCAATTATTAAAAAGAAACCACCAAATGTTTATCACACTTATTTCAACGGTAACTTAGAACTCGAGTGCATTCCCAACACCCAGAAAAGCAACTTACGTTTTTTTAACCAATATCACCAATCTAATTGTTTCGTTGATTGTAAGATCACTGAAATATATAAAATGTGTGGTTGTGTTAGATACATTTACGCACCGATGGCAAATTATACTTCGTTACGGGTATAATAAATTATTAATGATATTAATTGGTATGAATTAACGTCGAAACGTAATAGATATAATCCATTTATCTTTTTTTATCCAGATATGCGATTTGAAAGATGCCGAGTGTTTAGTTAAATATAAGAATAAAGTACAGTCCGTTAATTACGACACCTGTTTTTGTTCAAATCTTTGCGAAGATACAATTTACAAGGTATCAACGTCCAAATATTACTTGAAAAATACACAATTGTCTGTGTCACCGATGTAGTAAGTTTTTCACAATAATTAATTATTAAACAAATACGAAAATGGGTTTGAAAAGTTTCGAGTCTCTATAATGAAGACTTTTATTTTGTTTTTAAATAAATTGATCGAAAAAAAAATAATTGTTTCTGTGTTAAACTAAAAACTTTACAACCCATCCACGTATTCGCATTATTGTACAATTCTTATTAACAAAGGTTCGAAATATTCTTATTTGCTAGTAGCTGATTCAAAATTGAATATAAATATTTTTATAGACGTTTATCTTACGTCAAACGTAGAACAAGAAAACTCGTTCGTAATAAAACCAGGTAACCTTCATAAAACGATAATTTCTAAACTCGTAGATTCCTTTGGTGAAAGGAAAAGATATTAAAATTAAAATATTGAGAAAAAATAATTTCTATATACGTTTCCCTAAAAAATCATTTTAGATAATATTCATGTATGATAATAAGTATAAGATAATAATCTTACATATCATATATAAGAATATTATGTAAGATAATTATCTTAAGTAATAAAATCAAAAAGAATTTTTTATTTACAGTCAACATTTAACGGCTAGTCATACGGTTTTAAAGGTGTTTTGGAAAATGGATTTTTTTACGATCTTCCACACACAGCCTGCATCCGTCAATTGGAAAAATCTTGGTATTGAATATTTTCAACAATTTTGATAATCGTTTAATATTGCATTCGTATTAATGAATAAACTTATTAAATTTAATCTCATACGTTGATTAATTCAAAATATATTTTCTTATCTGTCGTTTATTTTAATCTAGTTTACTTTTGTTAATTATAACGGCACAACCATTCTCGGTTATTTAATCCGGTTAAGATATCATGTATTATATATTAGAATATCAGGTAATAAACAAAAAATAATACGTGCCGTTTTAATCAACAAAAATAAACAAGTATACAAATGTAGAAAGGGCAAAAAGTTTCTTGGTTATATAATATTAAATGTCATTTATTTCAGCTGAAGTTGGTGGAATATTCAGCCTGTTTCTTGGTTGTAGTATCCTTAGTGCTGTAGAAATCATATATTTCGTTTATCTTCTTTGTCGTGATATTTGTTCGAAAAAACAAACTCGTAATAATTAAGTTAAAAAACATGGTTAAATAATCAGCATTGTTATAAATATAAAATAATATTTGAATAACTTTCTGTGAAATATCGACCGATTTTACTGTTCGCACCTCTCAATTAAATTGAAATAAAAATAATAAGAAAAACAATCAATTATAATTCATTTAAAAAAATAATCTCGATTTCTCTTCTGTTTTATATTTCAATTTCAATTTGGATTCATTCAGAAATGATATTTAACAGAATGCTATAATAGTATTTGGAACGACCCAAATTCACATCAAGTAGATCTATTTCCAGCGATTACTGGAACGTGGTGGCCATTTGCCAGTCTTACCACGAGCTCAAATGTAAAATTATTTATTATAAAAAACGATATTACCACTACGATGTATTCCACCACGATGATTATCACGAAGCTCTTGTCACACGACAGGTATCAATTATTAATCAACGCAATTGAGCACGTGACCATGAAAAATAATATTATTTATCTTTGAGTTAAATAAATGATCAACAAGACCAATATGAAATGAATTAATTTAATTATTACTTTTATATATAGGGTATCCCAAAAGTCTCTTTAGAAAAAAAAAAACAAATTAAAAATTAAAATTAGTTTACTAATAGGATTCCAATATATTGTTTTTCGTTACATAATACTAATCTCCAATTATAGTATTTGATAAATTTTCGATGAAAAATACTTGAAAGTTTTTCCTTTTAATAGAAGTAATCTTGCGTTATCTATGGTACACACATATTTCCGGAACTTTTAAGATTTATAAGAACTTATGTAAGCAATCATTTTCGTGTGTTAAACGAAGGATGGAATAAACACTCTATTCAGTCGATATTTATTGCTTTTTTAGTTGGAACAACTCGAGATGAGGAACATCGATGTTCCTACGTTTCTTCTTAACGGATTATTTTTGGATCGGATATAGAAATTACTGATTTTCCTCTCCTATACACAACTACTTACGTAAGTATATGTGTACGTACATAGTAATGAAACAGTGAAACACTCTGAAGAACCGAAAGTATCTGCTATTTTCGTATTAACACCCACACTTTCCGTGTTCATCGTCCGTTTAACCAAAACGTTTACTTAATTTTTTCAGCACAAAGACAAAGCTTGTATACACATACCTAGTTTTTTTGAATTTTTTCTTCTTTTCATCTTCATGGCCACATTGACTCGTTAAATTTAAAATAAAATTGTGTTAAATTTTTCTCTACATATATATTACGCTATACAAAATTATATTTTTTTTATATTCGGTTATATAATTATTATATATTATAATAATTCGAATATACGTTAACAACACAAATTTCATTCATTCCAATTTGATAGCGTCCAACGTTTTCTGCAAGCGTAAAATATTTCAAGCAGAATTTTTGTTTCAATTTCACATGTTTTTTTTAGATCAAATTTTTGACACGTAAATCGTAGGATCTTTCCTTATATAAATAATCGTCGTCCATTATTTTCACACACACTTTTTTAAACATTGAATACATTAACGCGTTACGAACATGTATTAACATTCATTCGATCGTACATACACACACGCGCGCACGCGCTCGCGCGCACGTACATGTTTTTATCTTGAACATTTATTAATGTTTCACACTTTCTATAAATTGGCACAATCATAGAAATATATATTGCATTCTAATTATAATAATTTCACTCACTTCCACACGTCTTCCGTACAGAATTAATTAAAAATCCATTTTTTTTCTTTTCCTTGACATATTATTTCGTTTCGATTATTAAAACTTAATTAAAACTTAAATTAAATATTGCGTGATTGCAAATCGGTGATCGTATTCCGACAGCGAGATCAAGAAGAATCTGGAAACGTTTAATTGATGTTTCAATTCTCATTTTATATCAACGAAGAAAGTTGCCCAATCTTCGAGAAACTCGCATTCTTCGTCTTTCATGCTTCAACCCTAAAAAAATCGTTTAAAGAAAATAAATTTAAAATAAAATAAAATGTACGATTTTAAATATGTGAAATCTTTTTTTACATACCATTATGAGAAAAAAAAATAATTGTAAGGGATTAAAATATCCCCGAGTAAAGTAACCATAATGAGATCAAAAGTAAAATGAGGATCAAGTAAGTGGTAAGAATGTTTTTCGTTTCGTGAGCCGGCTGTGGCATCTTCGATTTTGTCTTTTATTCAATTCACTCTCCACTTAAAAAAAAAAAGTAAATTAATAAATAAGTAAATACAAAAGTACACATATATTTTTATATAAAATTATATTAACAATGAATAATAATTATATTTATAAAAATGTATATTTTTAATTCGATTAACTGCACTCTAGAAAATATTCTAATAAATAAATTAAACAAAAATACACATTTTCTTAATAAAAAAAAAAACCATATTAAAAATTAAAAATTATTCTATTCAAGCGATCGATATTTTATATTCGATTTATTGCACTCTAAAAATGAACTTCAATAAATATATAAATAAAACTACACATTTTTGTAGACGAAATTACATTAAAAATCAAGAATTATGTTTAAAACAATCGATATTATTTATTCTAGATTTTACTCACAATAAACAACGTACGTTAGACCGATAACGGTCGATCGAGTAGATCAATTATCAAAAAAAAAAAAGCTTTCCCTTGTGATATAAAAAATAATATGAAAAAGCAGGGATGAATTCGTTCCACGCGTCTTTACGTCCGATCGTAGACTGGATTCAGTTAGAAAAGGATCCGCAATCGAAGATCCCGAAATTCCTCCAGGAACCAAAACGTCGTCGTTTGAGCTCCGCCCCACTCGATTCGATAACTTGCACTTTACCCGTGTAATCTCTGCTCCAGGATTGGTAGCTCCGATTCCACCACCGTCGTTGCAAAATTCGAAACCGTCCAACGCCGAAAGAAACTTCGTTTAAAAGTGTTCTCTGGCTACCTCGAAGTTATATTAAGGCATTCTCTCTCGTTATTATACCTTTGAGTGATTCAACAATTTTTCCAAAATATTCAATCCGATCGATTATGTTAAAATGAATTAAAACAAATAAAACGAAAAAACATACGCATACGTCTTGCTATAAATTTATGTTACAAAATTTCTAGTACTTAAAAGAGAAAAAACAACTTGTTAAATATAAACAAACAATAATTATTAACAAATTCGATGAAATATTGTAAATTATTTTACTTCGATTTTTTTTTATTTTAAATTATAAAAATTATATTTTTTTCGAACGTAACGAAATAAATTGAAATCAGCATGATTAGAAATGCAAACCAATACGATCGAAACGATGAGATATCATCTAATAGGTATTAAATTTAGAAAAGGTAATCGACCCGCGAAACTAGCCAAGCCAAAATTATTATTTTAATTAATGAGATCCGGAAAAAGACTTAAGAAATTCTAACGTACGAGTCGAAATTCACAAATGTTCACAATCCTGTAATATATTCAATAAATAATAACGTATAACGCGCGAAAAACGAAGCTTCAAAATTTTGATGCGTAAGACTTGGGCGCCGACAAAAATTCGCATCCGCCATGGCTTTAAGTGATTTTTATTTTTAAACAAAATGCCTCCCCGTCCGGATGGAACGCCCACGCTTTCGAATTTATAACGCGAGAAGAATTTCTTCGTTTTTTTAGCAATACGACTCGGGTTGATACAGTTGTCTCACGTGTGGCGCCAGGATTAATTTACACGTGACAAAAGTGGAGAGAAAAAAAATCAGCAGGAGGAGGAGCAGAAGGGAAAGAAGAAGAAACAAGGATGACGCGTGCAGTATCATACTTTTGAGTGTCCTCAATATAATATTCACAATATAATCTCAATTTAATATTGTTCTTTTATTCCATTTCTTTTTTTTTTCTTTCTTTTCTCTCATAGTTCTAGATTTTTTACAATAATTCGTTCACGCTACAGAAAAAAATAAATTTAAAAGAAATAGACGTTGGTTCTATTTCGAAGATCTTCATGAGGGTTTAACGTTTTTCTGTTTTTTCTTTTTCTTTTTTCAAGTAACGGTATGTGGTATTTTATTTCATCTAATTTCATTTTTATTTTTTAAACTAACATAAGCTGTTTATAACGCATGGTAGTGTACTACAAATAGGAAGTTCGCATAATCGCGAAGGTGTGGCACATGAAAGACTGTTCTACGTCTTAACGATTTCTCTGCTGACCTTATTACAGAAATAGAATAAATTAATATATACTCATAGATAATATTTGTTTTGTTTTAATTATGTTTTTCTTTTCTTTTTTTGCTAATCGATCGAGAAAGAACTTCGATTGGTCGATCCTTCATCGCGATGGAGGTTTGCTTGTTTATCTTTGCTAATTATTCATAAAATAATACGCGAGTTAATAAATGTATCATGAAAATGCAGGAATTTTTTCTAACAAATATTAATTTTTCTCACTTTTAATACGACTTGTGTGTGTATGTTAGTAATAATCGTAGTATTTTCAAACAAATTACTCGTTGCGGGTTTTAAATTGCTCGTAAATTCTTTTCTATTGCTTTTTTATGCATCAACTTTTCTTTTTCTTATTATTATTCTTCTTCTTCTTATCGACATTATGATTAATTCAAGAACTTTGGAAAAACCTTCAAGTTGATTGATCGATAGATCAAAATTGTTTGTTATTTGCGTACGCTAACACGTAATTCTAGGATTTTCTTTTATGATTAGATAGAAATGTTGTTCGAATCTTTTAGCCAAAATTAGTCGCAGTATTAAATCCCCGTCTCGTTCGTCATCTCGAAATTCTAATTTAAATTTAGAACACTAAGCAAACATCGATTTCTATCAACAATGTTCTAGACAGATACGAGTTAAAATTTCGAACAAAATATTACGTAAATTTTCTTCTTTTAACATTTTTTTTTCTTTCCTAACAGCTACGCAAAACATTTGTGTTTACGTGTTAAAAAAAAAATTTTCTTCTTTACAATCCCGAATAATAATTTGTATATAAATTTATATATAATTTATCTAAAAATGTGTGTAAAAATATTTATAAACTAATCCAAATTAATATCAATTTTAAAATATTAAAAAAAAAAAAGAAAGCAAATCACATCAAAATGGAACGTCGAATTCGAAGTAAAGTACAAGAATCAATCGTAATTGCGATTACGTATACATTTCATTATACAAAAAGAGCAATTAATAAAAATCACATTACAATGCATTCTCATTATCATAGAACACAAAAAACATGAGATAAAACATAACAATCATAGATCTAAACGTTATTGGCACAAGGATCAGCATTAAAATAAAAATTGTTGTAACGTAGTGACTCGAGTAAATTCTTAAATAGATAAATTATTCGACTACAATAATTATTCATTCTAATATAAATAAATTAGAAAATATCTTAGAATCTTTTAATTCGGCTTAACTCAGTTCTTTGTATTATTTTACAACCTACTATTATATAATTCTCACTAAAAATTTAAGCTAATGAAAATCCTAGAACATCCTCGAGCGAATAATCGAACAATTTCAAATCTAATTTGTACAAATCTTCCAACTTCCTCAATTGTTTATAACTTAGCATCGAATAATATCGATCCAACTTCTTGGATGTTGGCTCGCTGCTCGGTGGTTTAGATGGGAAACTAGATAAATCAATAAAAACAATAGCCATAATTATTTATGACTGAGTTATTCAAGGCTGGGCATAAGTATACTTAGCTAATGGCTTATCTAAATCACAAATGAAGAATACTCACTTAACAGAGGCGACGTTCATCCTTTCCAACACTTCCGTAGCGTCTTCCACCAAGGTCTCATACTTACTTACAAGATTATAATTAACTATGCATGGATGGCATAATTCATATATCGGTCTCCAGTGTTCGTTCTTCGTACCATTTTCAGAATCATTAATAATAAATTCGACGAATTCGCGAAACGTAACGTCATCGCCATTTTTTAACGATTCTTGCGTGGCATTGACTCTATACTTCTATGAAAAAAAAAAAAAAAAAACAATCTTTTCTTTATAAAATATTAAATATATTTAACGAGAAAATAATCATATCGAAAGTGTGTGTCTCACCTTAATTATTTTCTTTCCGAAACGCGTTTGAAAGTATCTCGAACTCTTTTCATTCTTAGCTTCCAATTTATTCCTATATGCTGATAACAATCTTTCGAACGGATGTCTAACGACTATAAGTTTATCATACGCTAATAACTTTTGTTCAATTTCTGAAAGCGTGTAATTACTTAGCCTCAAAAATACACCCGGAGAGTGAGCCTGGTCGGCCGGTATTTCTAAAGGATCGTTTCCAGGCCACTTTCCTGTTGCAACCATTAAAACACGTTTCCAGTTTGTACAGGCAACCTGTAAGAAAGGCAACTCATTTTAAATTTTTTAACAGGAAAACACATGCGCACGTACACGTTCCTAGTTCGAAAGGCAATAGAATATGTCCTTGAAACATATCCTCACGTTTTCTTTCCACACGCTGTCTTAATTCATTTATTATTTCTTTTTATCCTCTTACTTCTTCTTCTTCTTCTTCTCATAATGTTCTAAATTTGACCACGTTTTTTTATACATAATTACATAATCTTGATTCCATTCAAAGTAATAAAAATAAATGTCAATGTAAAATTAGAAAGGATAATACATTATTATCTTATTAATAATACTGTAAAAATTTTCAAAGTTTCATACATTTACATAAAATTATCATTATTTACATCTATTTTGCGTGATCATTAAAATATGAATTTTCGGATCTTATAAGAGACTCTAATCAAAATATTTTTTATTCTTTTAGAGAATTATTAATATCAACGATACCTTTGGTACGTAACAATAAAGCAACTCGTGTTGCTCGTCGACGAGAATGTTTCTAAAGGATTCAGAGGTCAAAGTTCCATTTTCAACATTATTACGTCTGAGAAACTCTTCGCAATTATATTGCAATCTTTCTTGACGTTCCAACAAAGCTGATCTCGCAAGCGCATTAGGTCCGGTCCAAGAGTACATATATTTCTGTGATTCAAGATGCTTCGGGTTGCCATATTCTAATAAAACTTCTTCGTCGATTTTCTCTGCACTTAGGATCGAATTCCAAATAACGAGATTTAATATTATTTCTTTGAAGACACGACATCCTGTCATCGTCCTTTAGTGACCACACGGTACATTGAATTATCTTCTTATGAAATGTCGTCTTGCTTGCGCAATTCTTTCTGCAAACACGGGAAACGTTTTCACACGTTCGAGTCCATCTATCCACGTTGACATTGATAAATGTTTCAAAAAAAAAAAAAAAACAAACATAAACGCACATCAACAATATTTTCAATTCCGATAACTGGAGCAAAGTGATTGCATTATAAAGGCACCGAACATCGGTTTAAACGAATAAATTAAATTAAATATTTCATACGAGGTCGAAACGATAAATCTTTTATTCCGATCAATCGAATGTAACTCGTACCAATCTACAGGTATGATATATATATGTATGTAACATTAAACGACATTTACATTTAAATTCCTTTAACAGTCTAGAATTTCGAGTCTATTAAAAAATTATAACCCCTACTGACTTCCACAAACGGAATATACAAAGTATCTCAAAAAATTCTATAGGCACGTGTGTAAAATAGTTACGTTAGTGACTACGTGATTACGTTAACCTGATATATATACATAGTCTACAATCTCGATATACCAGTTTCAATTACCACGCCATGCGAAACCTGTTCTTGAACTTTGTCCATGACATCGATCGAGCATGAAATCATTTGTCGGGCATTAGAGAAACATTAAATTGTAATATATTTTTATTGAATAAATAATTATATTTGTTTTTAATTATCATTTATTTTTCACACTTTTATTTTTACTTTTTTACTTTTGATTTTTCACACACAATTCACACACGACGATCTCGCACATGTTTCCTCGAACTATCCAGACGATCGTCTGAACATTTATGCAAAAGTAACGGATTAAACAACGGATCGGCTTAACGGAATCCAGCTTATGGAAGTAGAACATAATCTCGATCTCGTTTACGCGCCAAAGCGTACAAGTCACATGCGACATATTAGCTATTAGGAATGTTGCTACGTTTTGCGTTGAAAACAAATTGGAAAGAAAGGTCGAACGATGTATGGTGGATTTTTTTTATTACGAACATCCCTTACCTCCTTGTCTATCATTCCAAAACGATCTGAACGATTTTAAAAAAGATTCGATTTAAACGTGACACAGTTAAATATTGCATCCGGGACATTCGTGATCTAATTACAAAACAATTTTTACGAGTATCCAGAAATGTATTCGTGATAAGTTATCAAACTCAATGAACCCTATCTCAAAAGTCAAATAAAATGATTCGACGAAGAAAAAATAATATCACAGTTGATCGTCAAGCATAAAATACGAAGTAACGTTTCGATTCACAGATTTCTTTTTAAAAAACGAATGAACCGTACGAACCGTTGCTTTTTCATGGTCCACCACTTTGATTACGTCATGTTCGTGGCTGTTAAAAATAAAAAAAAGAAAAGGATATTCGAGAAAATAGGTTGCGTTATAATTGATGCAATTAAGAAAAAAAAAAGTTGTTTAAACGTGAAAGAAATGATCGAGGTCACGTGTCGTTAAGCATCCGTCGGCCGATCATCGGCCTGCACCTTTTTAGATTCATCAACCGGTTAGAACCCACACCATGCAGTTTGTCTCGCACGATCAACGATCATGCTAAATGCGGCTAGCTTGAAGCTTAAGAATTTGTAACTCTTGCGATATAAATGTAATCTCCGTTTCGTTAACGTATCATTTTTATTTCTAATTCAAATAAGAAAAGAAAATACACGAGATTGTACATACAAATGTATGGGTTCTATTTAACATAAATAAGAATAGATTAAGCAAAACCATCGAACACTTTAAAACCACTTCGAGGCAACTTCCATTTTTACCCTTAACCATAGATGCTTCCACACGTGCGTTAGCAATTTACCTTTACTATCCATATACAACTATACTTAGAATTAGGATCTAATAGTATCTCTACTTATCAAAGATAATTTTTGAAATGACGATATAATAAGTTCTTTTTCTTTTTGATTGATTATTTTGATAAAAAAGAAACAATGATCACTGATATTACTTTTTTTCTAATCTCTTAACTATCGTAGTTAGGAATACTTACTTAATCTACACAAATCAATACTTAGAATCAAATACAGCATTTCTACTCACCAAAGATGATTTTTTGAAAAAGACGATATAAATTTCTTCTTTTTTTTTTTTTTTTGCCAATTATATCGATAAAAAGTAATGATCTATACACTGATATTACTTTTCTACGAATCTTCCAGCTATCATTGACGAACTTGGAAAGCAACGACTTGGCTCGACTTCGCCCTCTCGACTGACAGCGCCGAAATATCTCAAACGTCCAACGTTCGTATCCCGCGGTGTACTTACGAAACGTAAGCCTATTCGTCAACAATTTGCCGTCAGGAAAAAGATGCTACGCTCGTTCACCAAGAGCGGGAAAAATTCAAACAGACGATCCTTTCAATTGTTAGGAAACATCAACTTTTTCCTTTCCACGTTCGTACTTTTTAACAAATCGAGAGAGTCAAGAAAAAAACCAAGAAGAGGGTCAAGGTTCAAAGTAACTGAGCACTTTTTCTTCTTCTTCTTCTTCTTCTTCTTCTTCTTCTTCGGACATTGAACTTTGAACTTAATAAAAACTTCTGAACAAATACTAATTTTGTTATTACACGGATTTCATTTTATTAAATTTTCATAACTATTATAGTTTTTTCTTAAGGAATCTTGATCATTCAAAAATGGAGAGAATAGAAGAATACGAGACGCTTCGAGCCTCTACCTGTTCACAAAGACGATACTGAAAGACCTTCCCATGCATATTTCTCCTTCCCTTTCTCCCTCTTTCTCACTCTCTCACTCTCTCTCTCTCTCTACTTCTATCTATCTCTCTTTCTCTTTACTATGTTGCGTGTATGTGTTAAACAGAGTGAAAGAAGCTGCGCGCGCCTCTTTTCTTGTAAAACGTCTTCCTTTCTCTTTCTCTCTTTTTCTCTCTCTTTCTCTTTCCCTATTTTTGTCTCTTTTTATCTCTCTCTCCCTCTCCATCTCTTATTCCTTCTCTTATCATCCCTCTCTATAGTTATTGAACTATTGAAAATTATTCCAGTATATATATACACGCGTGTATATATTCGAGGTGTTTACCGAATACACTTCATTCATTTGTCATAACGCACAGTTGACACGAAATGAAACTACGAAATATGTTTTTAAATAATAAAGCAAAGTACGTGACATAAACCAACGCAAGAAGTTTAAATGCAGTGAAAGTGAGCAAAGACACAATTTGTTTATCCATTACGTTTTTTAACGCGTTTGTATAATCTTAGCCTTCTTATTTTTGTTTAGAAATATTGATCAATTTTTGGATCATTACATTATACAACTATCTCTCTGTTCAATTTACGATTAATAAAAGAAATCATTTTGATTGCGGTGAGTATCATTACAACATTTAACTTCAATTATAGCGAACACTCATGTTCGTTCTAGGAATAATGGGTAAACATTTGTTCTCTATCGAAAGTTACATACAATTTTTTATTAATTTTATAACAGCCTGATCTTTTAAAAAAGATCTATAGAAAATAGTTAAAACGATTGGCTCATCTCGATCACGTTTAACGATCGTTATATGGCGCAATTTACGGTTACAATTGTACAACTTAAATTCACAACACATACACTAATGTTAATAGCATTATTACGTCAGTATATATTCTCCTCTATAAGCATAGATAATCAATTATAATAAGCCAATTGTGTGATCGGAAAATATTTGTCAAATATAATTTTTATCTTATCAACCTCTTATTCTCAAATTCTTTAAATTATTATCGCCCATGTTATTTTATATACCTTTATTTATTTTGTATTATTCATTATTTTTTATATAGAAAAAATAGTCGTCGAAAATTTTCGTGGTATTTTCATCTTTATGCAAGTTTTATTCAACTGATTATTATCAATTATGTCATAGAAGTTTCTCTTGCATAAACTCGTCTTGCGAAATAAACTGGACATCGTTCAAATTGAGTAACATGTTTTAACAATTAGGATAAATTATACTTAATCATTTGTGTTTTTTTTTTTCGTATAAATTGAATAACAGATCCTAACAAAATTAGAATAAATTATATTTTATCATTTTCTTTGTTCTTCTCTTATTTCTTACAAATTTGTTTAATCAAACGAAAAAAATTGAATATTTTTAAAAAATTACCCGTAAAAAATGAATCATATATGGCCATATATGGCCAAACATGATCATATTAGAATACACCCCCTTAAATTATTCAACTTTTGTCTAATACATTTTTTCTACCATCAATAGTTTCGAAGATATTTAAGACTGGATCGATTTAAATGGAACACCCTGTATAGCTATTATAACTATATAAGATTATGTATAGCCACATTTGTTCATGCATGGCCATTCTCCAACATGATCATATATGGCCATGTATGATTCATTTTTCACAGGTGGATTTAACGTTTTTATTTCGGATAATCGTTAAATCGGTGTGCAGTACTTATGTTCGAAACTGACGCATATCATTACAACGGGGTGATATTTGGGACACCCATAACAGAATGATTACACAATAACGTTACATCAGTAACCTCGATTTATCACGCTATAGAATTATTCAACCGATTTGTAATACTTTTAAAAATTTGGTACCTAAATTATTTTTTATTCGACCTTTGTACTATCTCCAATTATAAACGTTCAATAATCCAATCTGGTATATTAGTCGAGTCAGTTTGTCGAGTTACTCCGTTGTCATAAATATTGTCTTTATACCAAAAATTTCAAGGTCGTTCAGAGAAAGTAAATAACTTGTATTTTATATATAGTCTTACCCATAACAGATCGCTTTTAGTCTTGCTTGGGATATCGTTGCAGAGTTGTCTCCGAAGAGAAGTGCACATAAATTAAATGAATATATGCTATTGCATTTATTCGTCTAAGAGAGGGAGAGAGAAAAATAATATACAAGTGAAAAAAATATAACTCAAGAAAAAAAAAAGTACTTCTTCTTTGCTTATATTTATTATATTTATTTAATTATTCTTCTGTGTAATATCTATATTAACGTCAAACAACATTTTTGTTCTTTCAGCGTACAAGTGTAGTTAATTAAATTTGACTAACTCTACGAAAGAAAATAATGTTAATGTTAATAGTATTGTGGTGGTTAGGCGCATTATTTGTAATTTGGATATCGTCTATTTCGATAAGCCGATTATTATCAACTCTATGGGAAACGATATTTCCTTTGATCAACTCCACACCGATCGATTTTCGTACGAAATTTGGGGAATGGGCCGGTAAGTGGAAGAAATTAAAAATCAATCTCAAAAAAATATTCATTAAATTTGTTTTTCATTAAAATTATTCAGTGGTAACTGGTTCAACCGATGGCATTGGAAAAGCATACGCTAAAGAATTAGCAATGAGGCACATGAATTTAATTTTGATAAGTAGAAGTTTAAAAAAATTGGAAGAAACTAAGAGTGAATTATTGAACATTAACCCTAACATCGAAGTAAAAATCATAGAGGCAGATTTTAGCAAAGGCAAATCGATCTTTAAAAAAATCCGAGCTCAATTAAACGAACCAATTGGAATACTAGGTAAGTAAAAACAAAAAAATATTTATACGTTGATATCAATGAAAATCTGTACTGTATAATAATTTCATTATTATTTTAATGCTGTAAATTATTCGAAGGAAAATAGATGCTCTTTATTTCATTTAAAAATAAATAAGAAAGAATAATAACCCGTGACCTATAACGATATCGTAATCCATAAATACTGACGAATCAAACTGCACTTTGCTACCAATTATGCATAAATATAAGAACTTAATGAATTTTATTATTTTCCTTTACAATTCATTTATTATTACAATTCTAATTTATTTGTCATTTTAAAATAAAATCAAAATTATATTTAATTAATATTCTTTACATTTTTATTTAATATTTGTTTAGTAAACAACGTGGGCAAAATGTACAAGTATCCTATGTATCTTGACGAAGTTCCGGAAGATGAGTTATGGGAACTGATGACGATAAATGTCGGAGCCACCACAATGATGACACGATTAATTATTGAACAAATGAAACAACGTAGAAAAGGTGCTATAATAAATATATCTTCTGGATCGGAACATCAACCGCTTCCATTAATGACTGTTTACGCTGCTACGAAAGCTTATTTAAAAAGTTTTTCCGATGCTATCAGAATGGAATATTCGCACTTTGGTATTACGATTCAACATTTAGCACCACTCTTTATCAATACTAAAATGAATTCGTTCTCTCCTTCTCTTCAGGTATTCCTCTATTTGTTATTTTTATAATTTTTTGAGTATCTCAACCAGAAAGTTTGCTTTTGTAAATATTTTAAGGGTTTCAAAAAACAATTATTACATCAACTTCCGATTCAGATACGAATATTAATTTTTGCACGATCTATAAATTATAAACAGCCTAAAAAAAAATACAAATAAGCATATTAAAGAAATTTATTTTGTTCATAGCAATCACGCAAATACTGCAATTAAAGATTCCGCAACCAAAGATCACTTTCTAGCACTAAAAAATTTTAAACAAAAGGACTACTTTCTGCATAAAACGTATAAAAATGTTATTCTCATATCTTCCTAATTCCAATTTCATTAACAAAAATTTTTCCTTTTAATTTGAATTGTATAAAACAGGTCTCCAGCCTTTTTATTCCTAATGCAATGACTTATGCTAAGAATGCAATAGCAACGCTTGGTAAGGTGGACTCGAGTAGCGGATATTGGGCTCATGGCATTCAAACTTTTATAGCTCTAACCGCACCCATGTCGCTCAGATTGAAGTTTGGTTATTTATTAATTAAAAAATTTCGAAATGATTATTTTAAATACATCAAAGATAAATAGTGCGAGATGAATAAGTAATAACATATTATTTAGAAAAAATAGTTTTACTACTGGTTGTTTTATTAAAATTGAATTTTAATCCCTATGATTATAACTAAATTAAGGATCATACTAAATATATATTTGTGTGTGTATATATGTAAACAAAAAAATATTCTCCACGTTATTTAACGCATTCTAGTTTCTACGCCTCAGAATATCAGGGACAACGAGTAAAACACATTATTGGTAAAAGTAAAGAGATATCCTATGTAAGACGTGCATGACCGAAATAAAACACTTTTGTATATGTTATGTTGTAAAATTGTATATGTTAATTATCTATTTAAAATTTAATTGTAAAAGAGTTAAAGAAGACGCTCATAATTATTTTTGTTCAAGTCTGACTCTGATAAGAAAATAATCACATTTGCGAGATTAATCTTCAATAATTATATGTACAATATTTATTATTTTATAATTACAAAAAATTCAATTTACGGTGCATATAAGTATTTTTAAAACGTATAATTTAATATTTTAAAATACAATGTAATACAACATAAAAAACACAACAATAAAAAATATTGTTTCTAATTCATTTAATTTATGTATATTAAAATCCTTTACAAAAAAGTAATACAAAATAAGTAAGTAAATGTAACAAATGAATGAAAAAGTGCAGGGCAACGGGAAATCTTAGTACGTTACTGCTATTCAGTGACTGGTGAAAATGGAAGGGATCGACAACGTTACGTGACCTCATCGAGTGAACCCAGACGAAGGGAGACGTTCACTTGTTATCCATGAATCGAAGAAGGAAGACGTTTAATATTTTCATCCGTTTTATAATACGAGGAAGATGATTTACTAAGTGGTTAACGAACTTGCACACGCAAGTGTGCCTATACAACTAATTAACAATGGAGTGAGTACTTTTTAATAATTAATTAATTAGAAAAATCAATAAAAAGGAATTAAATATAAAATCGATTCGAGTGTTACAAAAAAGGTATCGTTTTTTCTTCAAAAATTAAACACGTATTGCAATATTTGTTGTCTTAGGTGTTACTTTCTTTTATGGGATTAATTTGATTTAATTCATCTATTACATTCTATGACACTTTCATCTCATATATTTAATAAATAATTAAATAAAATAAAATCAAAGAGATTCCAAATATTGTCTTCTTAAATTTATTAATTGGAAAAATTTATTAAGAAACTTTTAAAAAGATTTTCCACATATTTCGAGAAAAGTTTAGCCACGCCAACGAATGTGCTGCCATTTTGTGATTCATCGTGCCACGACATGCATAACTCTTTCCTCAAGATTTTCACTTCGTCTATTTTTTTAAATACGGAGTTTCCTCATACACTCTCATTATAACTCTCATTATACACTCAAATTTTTAAGTTATTTATATTATTCAAATAAAAATAATCGATTTTTATCACTTATATAGCTCATCCAACTCGAATAATTTTAGATTGCATCATAATACGATATCGATCATTTTCATTCCCCATCTATTCTAAATTATTCCAACAAAATACGAATATTTTTACCAACAATAGCACAATTGTGTCCTAAGCAATAAAAATCGAATATTTATCGACGTAGTATTTTGTCGTTTTATTTTTTAGGGTATTGAAAATCACATCCTATCTTGTTTGTTATCTATTTCGAATGATTGACATTGCGAAATTAAGTTTTCTGAGATTCATCTCTATAAGTTATATAGAAAATAACTAATTATATAATTCAAATAGTTAAAAATTAAACAATTTATTTATCATCATCAAATATTTTTTTTGTACACTTTCAGATAATCAAATTGCAATAACGTTGTTTTTAGAGTCAATTGCAAAATTAACTTTGCAAATTGCTGTGCAATTATATAATTAAACAATTTAATATATGATCATTTAATATATTTTGTATATTTTCAGATAATTAAATTATCATAATTTCATGATTTTAGAGCCAATATGGCACTCACCACAAGCTATGTCGTAAAGACGACACAAATTTCTTTTAATAATTTTATAACGCACCATGATTGGATTTTCATCAACAATGGTGGAACCTCAAAATCAGGAGATGTGGAAATGGAAGACGGAACCAGAGTCCCCTAAGGGGACATCTATGGAAGATGTAGAAGATGATTGGTTTATGTACAACGATAAGTCCTTAGAATTCACTAAATATGCTGCTGATGAACCTGTTATGTATGACGATCAACCAACAAACCGTGCACATAGGGCGACAAAACTTTTAGATGAATTAAACGAATGGATAAAGGAAGGTAATATATATTAAACATATAAAATATTATGCATTAATCTTACTAATCAAATTGATATGTTTAATCAACAAATTATCACAGAAATTATCAAAGTACTTTAAAGCAATTGAAAGATCTCTAATCTGTAATTCAAGCTCGAACAACGTTAACAGGCATCTTTGCTTCGCTCTATTCTCAATAAAATAACCTTGCAGTGTTTTGGATTATTGATAATAACAAATCATCTTTATCGAATCATCATTGACAATGAAGAAAGAAAAATCAATTCCTTCATAAATTTACATGCAGCCATTTACAAAACGTTTATCGACATTAACAAAACGTTATTCGACATACTTTTAAATCGTATTAAATTATAGCAAAAAAAATAATAGTATATGAAAGAGATTGTGTGCAAACTTAAGAGAAAGAAAAGTGATTGTATAAAGAATATTAATGTCAAACTATTAGTATATAATTTTGTTAACTGGTATAGGCGTATTGAAAGCATAGAAATTGTTCCTCTATTTTTTTTCTCTCTCTCTCTCTCTCTCTCTCTCTCTCTCTCTCTCTCTCTCTCTCTCTCTATTTCTCTCTCTTATATATTCTGTATAAATATTTTTTTATTTGCTTTTTTCCTACTCAAAGAATTCACCCGGTTTCTCTATGTCTCACTCTTTCTCTCTCTCTTTTCTGTCTTTCTTTCTCCTTCCAGTTGTTTCAGTTTTTATCTTTTTCTTTTCTGAAAAAGAGTGGGACAAACTGGTTAACCTCTACGCAAATGGCTTTGCTTGGAAGCCGATAGGGTGATGACGTAGAGCATTCGAAACAGAAGAGAAGGGGTGACAGAGGAGAAAAAGTCCAAAGATAAGGAGGAGTGGTTTAACTTCAGTATACAGCCAAGTCTCTTATGCGAGACTTGTACGTGATCTACGACTTTCAGTAACGGTGTGCAGTACCATGCGCGATTCCTTTCGATATAAAATATCTGTCTGTTGAAAAAATTGTCTTCCCATCTTTTATATGATCTCTTATCGGAACATGAGAACGCGGTATACACATACACAAAAAGAAAAGAGTTTAAAAGAAGAAGATTCAAATACAACGCCATATCTTACGCATGCGCTACTGTTTTGGCACTAGGGTGGTGTGATTGTATTACTACGTGTATGTTTACGATTGGAGAGGATCATCGTTGTGCATCATCGGCACATGCGTAACTAATTTAAAACGACAAGAAATAATAATAAGAAGAAGAAACTGCCGCTTACTGTTGCTGCTATTATCGAGAATTAATTCCGTTTGAAATACCAAGAGGAACAACTATTTCAAATCAATCTATTTCATTCTCTATCTTGCTCTCTCATTCTTTTGTTCTTTTATTTACAGAATTACACGTCCTTGTATATTTGTAGAGTCAATTGATAAGATTTCTCTCTTGCATGTTTGATAATCGGTCTGGAAAGTAGACAGCTGGCTGCCCTATAATCACCGAATTGAGATAGAAAGGGAAAAAAGAGAGAGAATTAAATAAAAGAAAGAAAAAGCGATAAAATAAAAAGAACAAGGAACGACCGAAACGGGGGATAATTACATACGGTGGTGGTGGTGTCGTGGAGAAGGAGGAGGAGGAGGGAGGAGGAGTTGGAGTTGCAACAGCAGCAGTTTAACTTAGAAACAAGATACGACTTGGAGAGAGCGTTTAATGGATTGAGAGTACAATAGACCGAGATACTTACGACGATAACTAAAAAGAATAACTTGACAACAATACTGGCATCTATAAAAGTGACACAAGTGAAAGATCCGGCGTCTCGATGTTGGAGCGTGCTAATGTTATATAATAGCATGCAGTTCGCATATCGTTACACGTGGAACCGCGAGATCATTGTCAACTCTCAAAAACTTGTTAAAAGACGTTGAAATCGGTCCATCACCGATTTGACAGTGTCTTACATTGTTGCATCCGTCTATTTGAACTAATAACACCAACACCGACGACAACACAATCATCAACCCCCTCGTGTATTAAAATACGTCATCGTCATTATTCGACGAGAGTATACGTCGTCGTGCAATAATAAACATTGATATTTTTTATTATACATATTTTTTACCATATCATTTATATATAGATAAATATATATATATACACATTTTGTCTCGCTTGCAAACTTGAACAAAAAAAAAATTCGCTGTTCGCTTGGAGACTTAGTTGCCGTGTCCCATAATAATGGCTGCTATATGTTACACGGGTAGGTTTCCTTCATAATCGTTCATTATTGTTCTGCTAGTAAGCAGAACACCTTAGACATTTTATTTTTCTAATCTATAAATTAATATCTCTGTATCGCCTATCGCGATATACATGCTAACTTTTAGATCAGATCGATTAATATACTATCTATCTATGTCCACTGGATCCCCCACCCTTTCCTTCCTCTTTCCTTTCCATCCTCAACATTAGAATCAGATAAGATTGATGCCTCGTTGAATTAAGTTAGAAAGAGATCAACACGTTTCTACGTAGCAACGAATACAATTGATCTACTTCTCGTCTACGTTATAGAATCGTTTGTTATTCACTACGGGGGGTAAACGTGTTTACTGACCATTGAATAGTTGTTAAAAAAGACAGAAGGAGAGAGATCGCAATCGATGCCAAGAAACGGAAAGTTGTTAGACGTTATGCCAAGAAACGAGAGTAACCCGTTAAAGAATTCTAAGAAATAAACTCCGCATCAGCTTTGTTTAAGTGGGAGCTGGATAAGGGGTTTAGAGAGGAAACGGGAAATAACTTTTATTCAACACACAAGTAGGGGGAACGAGGAAAAATCTTTGATAATTGGATTCAAATCACATGTTCATCCTTCTATCCTTCTTCAAACATGTGTCAAACGTATTTTCCAGATAAAGACGATTGACTTAATTTTTTCTTGTTTGTTTGTTCTTTTCTTTTCTTTTCTTTTCTTTTCTTTTCTTTTCTTTTCTTTTCTCTTATATTCTTATAAAAACGAGAAAATCCTTAGAGATCGAATAATTTGGGAAAGATAGGAACACCACAATTCGGTGATGGTGATGGTAATGATGATAACGACGACGGTAGTGGCGTCTCTTTTAATTAAAAAGGTCACCAAATTTGTTTACCACGCGATTCTCTTTTGGAATAACTTAATCATATTTTATCGCTCAGCTCATACTTGTTTGGCAACTTTACCCACATTCCTCGACAACCTTTTGTATGTATATGTACATTTCTATTAATCGTTTTGGTTTCAAAATTCAACGCATTTATCGCTAATCTTTTCACTAAAGATTTGCCTAATGTCCCAATGAATAGAACAAATAAAATTGATTTCTGTTAAACGATCCAAGAGCACCACGACAATGATTATGGTGATAATTAAAACAAAAACCCACCGTTAGATATCTGTTGTTTCTTTGTAATAATAAAAAAAAAAATATTCTTATCTAACCTCCTGGCCTCCGTATTTAAATGACGATAACTTTTAAACGGTATCGAGTTGTCTTCGATCAAAGTTTCACAAGAAAATGGGTCAGGGCTGATGTAGTATGTAATAGTTAAAATCACATTGATCTAGGAATAAGAGTAAAAACAGACATGTATTTTATAATATTATAAAAGCCCGCTATTATTTTTGAAAAATATGTACATCCATTTTTGTATCATAAAAAATGAAGTAATATGTGTATCTTTTTTTGTGATAAAGAAAAAACGAAATAAAAAAGTTACGACCCGCGAGTCAGACAGTAATATTTTAAATAAAACTCGTGCAAGATTATTCTGTTCTTTTTTTATTTTATTTTTTGTTCTTTAATAGCAAATCGTTAAATGATCCTGAGAGAAATAGAGAAAAAGAGAGAGCTTTTACAAGATGTTTTTTTCCTTTTATATAATAGATGATTGTCGTCTACATTAGTCTTAAATTAAATGTGCCCTACCTTTATAAACTCCAATAGTAATAGTTCGAAAACTGCAAATGAGTAACTTGTTATTCTAGTTGAACCAGAACGTCCATGAAATTATACATACATCAATGCGCCACTCCTACATCATTTCTCATGCAAAAAATCAGTAAAATGTACTGTTAATTAATTCTCTATGTTTTATAAAAGGTAAAGTTACGGATACATAGAATAAAAAAAAGAAAGAAAAAAGAATAGTTGTTTGTTCTCTAAGGATCAATATTCTTGCATTATTAACTGAATTAGATAATATGATTTCATTGAAAGAGAATAGAGCGAAACTTTCTATTAGAAATATTCAAGAAAAAAAAATTAACTGTGTGTATTTGATTATATACAGTATGGGCGAAAAATTTCTAGATGAAATTAAAAATCAGTTACTTTTTTTTCAAAACATTTTAAACCAGTAATTACTCGTTCAGATTATAAAACTCCCAGACTAGGAATTTGAAACTAATACTGTGTATAGTGTATCGCTTATTTAGAGATAATAAATAATAATACAAATTTTAAAATAGATCATTTTTGCAGAACCTTTCTCGTATTGGTTGGAGGAGAGGACTAATCTGCCGATATTCGAAGAATTAGAAAACTCAGAATGTGGTCAAAACAACAAATCAGTACATCCGGCTGTAATAAAAAATCAGCAAGAACAGTATAACACTAAAACATTGTTAGAAGAATTCGAAACTGTTTTGGAAGATGTTGAGGCTTGCCATCAAATAATTCCATCGTCAGTTTCAACCTTAACTCCGCCACAGTCACCTCCACCAAATAAATCATTAACTGTAGACACTAAATTACTTGTTACCTTACAACCGGTGCAAATGATTCAGCCGGTAATATCGAGTCAACAACAACAGCTGCCTGTATATAATGTCATAGTATCTTCAGAAAAACAACAACAACAACCTGCAGTCTATCAGAACGAAGTATGCATTCCTGAACAATGGAATCACGAAAGTGTATCATTGGATCCACTAGGCGGAGAAGACGTTGCCAATGATTTGGCAGTCGTAGATGAATACGTGAGATCGCACACCGAAGACATTCCAACAGCATACAGTTCATGTACCAGTCCAAGTGGTAGCTGTGCCTCTTCTGAAGATTCCATTTCTGACGATCCTGACTGGATCGCTGATATATCCTACGATAAGAAACAATCTACTTCAATTGGTAAAAAAAATCAGTACAAACCCTATTCCCGCCCAACGATCGAGGACAAAAAAGTACGGAAAAAAGAACAAAACAAAAATGCGGCTACCCGTTACAGGCAGAAAAAGAAACAAGAGATCAAAGATATTTTAGGCGAAGAACACGAACTTACCGAATACAATGAAAAGTTGCAAGGCCAAGTAAAGGATCTACAGCGGGAAATTGGGTACTTAAAAGGATTGATGAGAGATTTGTTTAAAGCGAAGGGTTTTATCAAGTAATGATTTCAGCCGAGGAGGATTTTTATTTTTCTTCCTTCTTTCCTTCTTCCCTTTCTCCCTTCCTTGCTTCTTCCCTCCTTCCTTATCTCAACTCCTCCTCTACCCTTCTCTTCAACAATCTTTTTTATAATCCGTTTGTTTAGATAATCACATTTATTGAATTTATTTTAACTATAGATTTCTCGACACATCATTTTACAATATCACTATACTAACTAATACGATAACATTATGCTTATATCATCGATTGTTGCATATATATATTATATATTTATATATATTTATATATATTTGTATATATAATATATATATGCATAACTTATATATATATATATATATTTTTTTTTTTGTTTTAATTTTTTTGTTATCGATCGTCTACAACATTCTAATTTCTTAAATGTTTAAAATGTAGAATCTATCACAGCTTTAGTGGAACTACAGGACTCTATCGTCTTGTAATTTATCGAATGTATAACCATCTCCTAATTTTATACTTTTATGGTCCATTAAGATTAGCAAATGCGACGACTATTTAGGGTAATACATGAGGAATTTATTACGATAAGCAGCCCTATGAAGTTCTCACGAGCGGAAATCTGCTGTTGTCGAATTATCTGAAAGTTTTGCTCTTTCAAAAGAGTCGTCTCGTAAATATTTGCGAATCTTTTCATTCCGAATAACATTTTAACCCAATTCAATTTTATCGTATTTTCTTACAGAAAATATTACTACCTTTAGAAAAAAAAAAACAATAAATGGGTTATATTGTATAAATGACAATACGTTTTTAATTAATATTTATCAACTGTGTGTTTTAATCCCTTCTCTCTTTCTCTCTCTCTCTCTCTCTCTCTCTCTCTCACTCTTCTGTATTATCATCATCATCATCATCATCATCTCGTTATCAATACAAATAAACATTGCATACAATAACAATAATAATAATAATAATATATTTTGTTTAAACGATAAAATCAAATAAACAAGCACCAAATCCAAAAACAGTATCATAATTAAAACGAAAAGAGGAAGAATCTTTTAGAAGAATTTTTTATTTAACAAAATTAGAATTACGATAAATATATTGAATTTTTCATCTCATAAAAAAACAAATCAAACAAAAAATAAAGAAAATATTACAAGTATAAAAAAGATATTGCAAATAGATTTCTTTGTTTCGGTGTATAAATAATTATTAACAAACATTTTACGTGTATATATATTAAAAAAAAAATATTTATCTCCGAACAGGTACGCTGCGGGTATATATTTTCGATTCGTTTCTTAAAATTGTTCTTCATAATATTTTAATTAAAACACAATAAAAAGTAAATTAAAAAAAACCAACAAGTAGGCTACTAAAAAAGATTAAATTAAACGTACACGTAAAATACAAAAACATAAATGCAAATCTAGTAATCGGACGTAATTTTAGTTGAACCCTTTTGCACAAAATGTATACGCGAAGTGATTACACTGACAATCCTTCACCAAAAAGCACTAATTACATTAAACAATAATTATTAAAAAAAAAAAAAAAAACAAATAGTTGAAAGCATTAATAAAGAAAGAAAAGAACCAATGAATATAAATGAATGTTTAGTTATGTAAGGAGATATTTAAAAATTAAAAAAAAAAACAAAAAAATAAAGCTTAAAATAGTTGCGCAACATACGCAATCGATCAAATGCATTATACACACATCGATCAATTATGATCTGTATTTGCACTTTGTGCCATCATCTATACAAATGTAAACTAAGCGCAGTACATTTGAATTTTACTTACAAACTGAAACATATTTTGTTTTTCTTCGTTTTTTTTTTGTTCAAAGCTTTTTTCTCTTTACATCTATATTAAGTCTATCTCGCCGATACACATGTCTTATTTTTATCGAGTAATTCTCTCTCTCTCTTTTTTTTTCTTATTACTTGCAAATATTCTTTTAAGAATGTGTATATTAAATTGCAAACAATGCATTCTTTTTCCCCTCGTGAAATATAATAAAAAATACAAGATAAAAATATTTTTAAAGTCCATTCGTCATTCATCACGACAATTATATTTGCTCGTAATAAAATATCATTGAAATGCTTCACTTAAACGTAAACATTAAAAAGTATTTAGATGATTGTTCTAATCAATTCAATTAGAATGCAAACAACATTTTAACATATTAATTCTGATAAAATAAAAATGAAAATAAAAATATTGAAAATTAAATAAAATTATATATATTTTTCTTTTTCCGAATATAAAATATCAAATTATAAATTCTTTGATATTCATTAATACTTCTTTTTTGCTTGCAATTAATTAAAAAGTATTTAATAATATAAATCTGACGTGCAAATTTGGCAGCCATGATCGTTCTCGTTCTCTCTTTCTCTCTGTTTCTTTCTATGATACAAAATCACGGAATATATATACATAATTGCTATATACCAAGCTTAAAAATATAACTTATTATAGCTCTAGCTTTGCAAGCTATGTGCGAGGGCGCATAGTTTGGATTACATAGTTTTGTGTGTTCTTTATTTACATAGAATAAATCTGTATTACGGTAAGTAAATGAAAAGCAAAAAATTATACTGCACAATATACACGATCATTTAAAGACTTTTTGTTTCATAGAAAGAGTATACTCACATATATATGAATATAGAAGAAAATAATTTGTTATAATTTTTTTACGTTTCTTAAATATAGGAAGAAAAAATAAAAATTTTTTAAATCTTTTATCATTTTTATCCAAACTAATTAACGGTGTATTAAGTTGTTCTTATTTAGATGAAACAAGATTATTTTTATTACAGTGTCATATCTTTCTTTTATATATATATATATATATATAGATGTGTGTGTGTGTGTTATTATTTGAAACTATAGTTGCTCCCACTCTTCTTAAGGAGTGAAAAAAATTATACTTCAAAATAAAACATTGACTGACAAAAAAATAAATACAATTGCACGGCTGCTACTTAAATTCATAGCAACGTATATATTCTGCCTTTCGATATTAAATATATATTATATGCATGTGTATATAACACTGTTTTTTAGCCATACTCACAAATATATTTGTTCTGAACTCATTTAAAGAGTTCAAGTTATTATTACAATATACCAACACTATGGACTCGATATATTCTTTACAATTTATATGCACTCTATTTACCCCACTAAATTATCTGTTTTTTATATATATATATACGTATCTTCTACAATAATGTACATGCAATGTACACACTGTTGTTAATTCACCAAAAGTAAATATATATATGAAAGTACCCATAAATAATATATTAACACGTGGAATATTGTATAATGTAGTCCACAATTAAAAGTATCAGTCGAAGCTTAAGTCTGAGCCTCGCTGAGTTCTAACTTAGGCATACATATAGATATACACTGTTAACCAATCTGCACGTTACAACGCGTTCTTATCACATAAAAAATCACGAATAAAATAAAAATAAAATTATAAAAACAAAAAGACACCATAAAATAGTAGATTTGCATTACATTTATAAAAGAAGAGTTCAATGCATAATCTATGTGGCAGTATAAAATTAGTATGCTACAAACACAGTGATTCTCTCTGGAATGTTCTTGCAATAATAAATAGCTATATGAATATTTGAAAAAACCTAAATTAATTACAAAAATTATATTATAATTCGCTTTGCGTAAAAAAGAGAAAATAAAAAAGAAATATACGCTATTCGTCGTCTAATTTATATAATTTGCTTTTTTCATTTTTTCTTCTTTTTAAAAAAGAAAACAAATAAAACACCATTTACAACCAATGTATATCTATATAAAATGCCGATAATATTTGCTCATTTATGAAAGAAGCTAGTTTATTCGTTCCATTTTGATAAGAGAAAGATTATTAATATGTAAGATTAAGAAAGGGTTTGAAAATATTTTACAGTTTCTATGTTGCCGTATCACCGTCCTCCTGTTCGAGCCTAGAGGAACCACAGACACGACATTTACAGCATACTATGCACGGAGCAGCCAAAAGTAGCAAAGGAGAGGCAACAAGTAGGAGCAAACCAAAACCGGCAAATATACCAATTACTTGTGTTCTATGCCATATTACAGACGCTCGTGAGTGACCTAATTTATTTTTACATGGCCCCTTATCGTAGTGCCTCAACAAAAAGTCATCCTAAAATATTAATAATAATTTATATCAGTATATTATTAAATCTAAAATTATAATTTATATATTATATACTAAAAAATTGTGAAAAATATATTTATCACTAAAATGATAAAGTACTAAAATGCTTACATCCAAGGAAGCTAAACAATACCAGCAAAAAACGTGCTTGCATCTTTTGCACATCATTTGAGCGCATCCTTCGTCCTTTTCAATAGGTACAGAACACATAGGACAGCATTTAATATGATCATTGTCAAATGGTATACCTAATGGAAGATCAGAACATGGTCCACTGTGCCATGCTTCTCTACACATGGAGCAAAAATCTGTAGAACAGTTAGGACAGTGGATGGGTCCAGGAGGCATACCACTACTTCCATTGGAATTGATTGAACATATTGTTTCACAACCTGCACGTGGACACCACGCCCGTTTTGTATCCATTGAAACATCTGTATAAAATGAAGATTTATTAGCAACACAATATTTTGTAATTCATTTTACACAAATTAAGAATCATATCTTTTATTTACCTCTATTTAAACGAAACTTGCTATGTTTATCCAATAATTCAGGAGTAACAAGACTTCTAATTTCTTTTAGCGAAAGGATAGCACCTTGTTCACATTGTGCATCGGGGCAGCTAATTTCATATGCACCTTGTTCGATTTCAAACTCGACATATGCTTTCATACACTAAAAGATATTATTTATATTAATGATCATTGTATCTTTCTTTAATATATAATGAATACATATATTTTATACTTACATCTTTACAGTAAAAACAACCACAGCCTTCAATTTTAAATGTTTTGGAAAAGGATGTGTCGGTAAGACAAAGCTTACAAAATATTCTCCCAACGGTCTGCTGCGAACCAGTTGGTACAAAATTGCCAGCAGCTAAGCTGTATCTTGAGCTAGATGCTAATGACAATAAACTAGAACAGCGAGAGCAAACTCTACTGCGATTTATGGCTCTACCTTCTAAAGCAGATGTACTCAATCCGACAGTAGTTTCACATTTTCTAAGTGCGCCAGGAGCTAAATTAATCCAACTTCCACCTCGAGCTTCCAAACTGGCACTGCTTTCAGGCCTCAAAAGCGGAGAGTCTATGCCTTTGCCTGGTAATGTTCTTTCGGTCAAAGAAAGATTGACTACACTTGATTCTTTACGTAACAATGGTAATCTTATACCAGTAAGTTTATTAGTCTTGTCTATTTTCTTTTGATTGTTATTAGGTTTGGGTTGTGGATTAACAGAAGTTACCGAACTAGTTGTCGTGCCCATATCCATTAAGGGGGCTCGTCGTACGACGAGCGAGTGTAGGCTAGGCATCCCCTGATTTCAAATCTCGATTTTTACATCCACTTACAGACAAGGGCTATGCACTGGCGTTTTTAGGACAGTTTGCGACATAAAAACATTGAAAAATGCAATGTACTTTGTTTCAGTTGTTGTTGTTGGATCAAATAATAATTCGACATAGACGAGTTAAACGATGATGACAATAATGATGATTTCTTGCCATGATCACTTTTAAACAACGCTGTATTATTATATCGATACAACTTCACATTTGTCATAGCTCTTCTTTTCGTGCGTTATAAACATCAAACGACATTGGCTAAATGATCGAATTCTAAAAGAAATGATAGAACATATATATATATATATATACTTTGATATTTCATTAGTTATGTAGATGTAGATGTTAAAGGCCACATTGGCAAATACGATGTTCGCATAAACATAACGTTTCGATGTAAACGATGAATTTTTGTGCAATTTTTCGTTGCGATTACAAATATATGATAAAGAAAATATTTTTCAAGTCCTTTTACATTAACGAATTAATAATGAGATAATTCGTAGATTATCGTTTCATCGTCGAAAAAAAAAAAATTCGCATTTTCTTTTCTTTATCGTGTAGAACAATGTTTCAACGTAAATCAAATAACCGATTTATTTAACACGTTACACTCGCTCGTGCTGCTCGCTGGTATATATCTTCGATGACGTATTTTTTTCGTAGGACATTTAAAAAGAAAAGAGACAGAAAGACAGAGAGAAAAGAGAAGATAAAAAAGGAAAAAAAAACATCATCCGCACATCTTCTAAACACAGCGAACAAACTTTCACCGTTATATTCGTTAACACGAATTATACGGAATGTTGTGCACTGTTTAAGAGTCGATAATATATGATAACACAGTTTCCTTAAGCTTTTTCACCTGTCCTGTCACGAAGTACATCAAAGTGCATAAGAGAATATAGTAGCATATATCTCGACCGACTACTTCCGCTCCCACTCACTTATTTTTCTTTCTTTAAGGAGAACCCAAGCGTGGATCGCGATCGGCGCGCATCATTCTTTCCCTCTCTCTCACTCCCTCTCTCTCCCTCTCTTTTTCTTTTTCATTCTCCTTCTCTCATTCTCTTTTATTCTTTCTCTTTCTTTTCATAAGATATATATATATATATATTTTGACAATTTACATGATTGTTTTCATTTTGATGCAACGATACAATCATCTTTCTTTTTCTGACTATTCGATTTTCATAAAAAGATATACAAACATCTATATTTAATCAAAAATTCTTACAAATAGGCAACGATCAGATAGTCGTGTAATTTCTTTACATGTATATATTAGGTCATGTTTTATTACGATCCGAGAGGATCCTTCGAAACAGTTTCCTTATTTTAAACGTCTTCCTCGTCGTCGTCCTTTTTTATCTTTTGTTGTTTTATTCTATTTAAAAAAATTTTTCGACAGCGATCGATTTTTTTGTTGAAGGTCAACTTAGGAATTAACTAAATTTTACGTTTCAAACTCGTTTCTAGAATTCCTTAAAATTATGGAAATTATTTCTATGTGTGTTACAGCTATGCATGAACGCGCGCGAGCGCTTTTCTTGAAAAGGGTGGGGGAAAAGTATTTTTCACGATTATATGATTTTAGACTACTAATATAAATGTATCTTGCAATTGGGAGGAATATTTAATAAAATAAGAGTATTTATATTTTCGTTCGGATTTTATCTATTAAGTATTTAAAATCGGTCATTTTATAGAATTAAAATTTATGCGAAGTTTTCGATTAGATTTCACGTTTACACGATCAGGTGAGTGCACAAAAATGATTTTGCGCATGCGTAGTAAAAAAGCACTCTCGTTGGCTATTTTCTTTTTAGAGGTAAATTTACAATAAGACAAATTTCTAATAATGAAATATATTTTTAATAATTGAATGTTCGCAAAAAATATAAAATAATAAATAAATAGAATAACAAACAATTATTCATTGCAATGATAATTAATAGAATCAAATTACGATTGTAATGGGATCATATATATACGTATGATCTCCATTATATATATATATACGTCTATTAATAATTATTACAATTTTATTTAGAACACATATATAAACATTGATATTTACATATTATTTAAATCAGCGGTACGTAAAATCCGTAACGCAAATAATTCTTGTATCAGAGATAAAAATAGTATTCACTTCATTTTAAACATAATAATTTTTAATTAATAAATAATATCGATGGTACTGTAATTTTGAAAACATTTAATAGAGATTTAATCGAATCCAAATGTTTCCGTCCCAAAGAAGAAATAACAAATATTTGCTAATATAAATACAATAATTTAACACGCCGCTGATCTAAATGAATAAAAATAGTTTACAATAACACATATTAACGCTTTTATTAAGTATCAAAACAGTTTTAAATTGTATAAAAATTAAGCAAATTACGCTACTAAAGATTTATTTTTAATTCAATATCTATAATAGAATAGTTAATATGAGATTCACATGATTACACAAATTGTGTATATATAAATTAAAGAAATTTATTGAGTTTTTAAAAATAACTTTGTCTATAAAAAGAAATAAAAAAATGACAAGCCCTATTTTGAACACTTTTATCAAATATCTTTCTCAACACTCTGTTTTCACAATTGATTTTATTTTTATTCATGTTTTTAATGCTCCACAAACCCAGTTACCGTTGTTATCATTTTGAACGAGTATTATTAATTAATTAAATAGGAATATATTTGGACTAGAATAATTTTTTGACAGGAGAATTCTTTTACAAAATTAATATATAGTTGATATAATTACAAGTTATCAATTACTCGTTGCACAGACGACAAGGATATTAAAGTAATTGATAATAATATAATTATATATGATATTTGGAGCTGTGAAGCATTTGTCTTTATCTCGTATGTGTATGTGTATGTATGAATGATCGTGTATGTTTTTATATGTATACAAATGTAGTTTTTTATATTTAATACGTTCTAAGGAATAGAAATTGTGTACATATGAATTTCTTTTTCAATTGATATTTTACAATGAAATATTGCCAGGTATACTATATTGTCCTTTCCTGGAATGTGAATCAACTGCTCTGACAGCAAAGTAATAATTGTTACCTTCTGAAAACTAAAATATTTACGATTTATAACTTTTTAACTAATATTTAAACAATTTGAAATAATATACATTATCGCATATCCCTATTATATTATTTTCTATTATTAATTATTATTTACCTGAGTAAGAGTACAAGCCATAGGCAGTGGTAGAGCTCGAACGTCACCAACTTTTTTCCAAAGATTCGTACTAGGAGATACACCTGCGACTTCTTGATAAGCATACAATTGGTAACTAACTATATCTGCGTATTTATCCGAAAGTGTCATATTCCACGATAACACTATACCTAGAAAATATAAAGCATCGTTTAATGATTATTTTTATAAATCAATTTTTATAATGAATTTGGCACTACATAAAATACATACCATTTGCAACTTTGGATATTTTCAAAGAAGGAGCTGGTGGAGGCAATTTTGAAAGAGGACTAATGCTATAGTGAGGAGAGTCTGGAAGAGGTGCCGGGTGCTAAAATAAATATAATAATATTTAAATTAGTTCATTTATATTGTAAGAATAAATCTTCCCGAGAAAATAACAAATTTTATCTTTAAATAACTCACTCTTTTTGATTGTATATTTGTAGGACCAGCCGGTGTTGTGAGTACGCGTACAGTACCATTTGCATTTGTTGAAATACCTAAATAAGAAAAAAGAGAAAAAGAAAATCTAGTGATGTTAACTAAATAGAAATATGATAATGTTAATACTATTTACCAGTTTTATATGCAACTGTTGTAAATGGTGGTCTGTTACATGAACTTACTACTGGTCTTATCTGAAAATTATGTAATTAAAAACTTTATTTTCACATATCTTTTTAATTCAATTTAGAGAATCTTATTAATAAATATATTGTTATACTTGATTAGAATTTGATGTTATCAATAATTGTCTTCCTGGAACAACTCCACCTTGCATTACGTATGCTAATCTAGGTGCATTCATATTGTTCTGTCAAAAGAAATACATCTTTAAATATCTTTTACATACCATGATTAAGATGGTATGTATAAGAACATAAATTTACTTACTACTAAAGCAGTTGGTGTTGGATGACTTGCTGTATGAACTACCCTGATGCTAGGTTGAGATATAGCTACATTCGCAGGGATTGTTTGAATTACTCTAGGAAAATTGTTCGATGTCTTCGGTTTAATATTTACTAAATTATCTGTGTTTTTGATCACATTTGGCATGTTTACTGTAGCTATAAAGAATAGACAGGCAATAGGTTATACAATTATCATATAATAAAGCATCTATATTTTTCCATATATTTCCATGTATAAATATTTTGAAACGTACATTTATTTTTTTCCTCTTCATCCGTTAAATCAATGAGATCATTAGTATTTGTTTTAGAAACATTCGTTGTTGTACTTTGTCGACTTGTTTGTTGTTGCGGAACTTTTCCATTTAGCACTACAGTTTGTGGCGATAATGGCTGTTGTTGCTATTAAATTAATTGTCAAATATTTATATATTATTATAAATACTTTTATTATTAATATAATAACATTTATGATACGTACATTTGGTAATATTTGTTGAATACTATTGGTTGGATTTTGCAAATTTATAGTATGTTGAGATTCGATAGGTTTAGTCATAACTAAAGCCGCTGGAGTCACAGCAGGAATTAATGTAGGAGGTTGTACTGTACTGTGCGATATAGTAACAGGTTGTTGAGCGACTATGGGTATCTCAATTTTTCTTGGAGACCTTACTTTTATTCCTTTTTTTTGATTCAGTGAATTTGTTTCATTGACTATAGGAGTAAGTGTAGGTGGTACATTTATACATTTTACTGGAGGATTTTGTTGTAATTGTCTTAAACTTTGTATTCCATGATCCTATATAATATTTATTAAATAAATAAATAAATAAATAAATAAATAAAAAGTAATAGAGATTAAAATAAACAGATTAACGATAATAGTAATATATTACCGTAATAAAGTTAACTTGTAATCCAACAGATCGATTAATCTTTATCGGTATCACTGGTTTATCATTATTTGCCCGTCTATCTGCCACATTACGATTTAAAACCATTTCAAAATCCTTTATTTGCTTTGCTAATTGTTGACACCTAGTTCGTGTTGCTTCCTGATTTTTTTCAGATATTTTCGCTTGTTCTCTCAATCTTCCAATTTCACCACGCATTGCTATGGTTTCTACAATTTTCTGTATTAATAGTTCTTCCAATTCCTAAAACATGTGTTTTATATATATGTCGATCACATATTTAGATTAACATATTTCATTATAAGAGAATATTGGAATAACTTACCTCTTGCTTTAATTTAGGTAGTTTTTCCTTAGCATTCCTTCTAAATAATTTACTTATATAATTAAGACTTCCTATATCATTTGTTTCTTCTTTATTTATGGTAAAATCTTCAACTTTAGAACTTTTGAGTTTTTTCATATTACCATTAACAGATAAATCAATCTCAGTAGAATGACGTTTTAAAGAAGAAGGAGAAAGAGGTTGCACATCCTGATTAATTTTATGATTTAAAGTTATATTTTTATCAGAATTATCACTAGAATCTATCTCGCTATCCTGAGCCAAGAACTTTTTTTTTATTATTTCTTCTGCATTTTTAGCAGTTTTTCTTTTCTGTCGTCCTTCTATACATGAAACAATTATTCTATTAAATGTATGTACCTTAAATCGTATTAAAATAATATTACTTTATATTAAAGAATAGTATTCATACCATGCTTTCCTTGAATAGTATCTTGTTCCAAGATGGTCATCTTCCTCGATCGTCTTCTTTTTCGTTGCGGTTTCGAAATTTCAACGATATTTTCTTCATTCTCATCATTTATATTTTTTTCAACCGACTGTTCTGATGATGCGCCTATACTTGTTAAAGAACTTTCACCAACAGAAATTGCAGGCTCGTTAATATCATCATTGTTCACATTTAAAGCTTCCGACGTTGATTGATCATTGTTTTCAAAGCTTTTTGATAAATTCGATTTTTCATTTTGCTTTAATATTAAAATATTATTATCGGATGAACTTGAAGTTTGATCTAAATTGATTTCGTCATCTAATACCTTTTTATTACATTTATCGTTACTAACTTTTTGATCATTTTTAAAAGACTCTTGATTAAATTCCTGGCGTTTACTTACTATAGTTGTTTCTGTCTTATTAACTTTTTTTTTATCCTCGGAATGTTCATCAATTGTTGAACAATCGTCCGAAGTTGAACTTAATGCTTTCTTATTAGTAAAGACATCCGTATTACAATTGCTACTCAGTATTTTCTCATTCTTATTTAGCATTGAATCTTGTTTGTCATCTCGACATTGATCATTTTCTTTACTAGTATCTGCTTCTTCGTTTTGATCTTCAATCTTTATTTGATTGCTATCTTCATATTCATTTTTCTCTTTCAAAGAAGATTTATCTTTTTCTTTGCTAATTGAATTGCTTAAATTATCAGCTAATTTGTTATCATCACAATTGTATTTACTAGTATTACAAGTCCTACTTTTCGTTTTCGTTAATTTTTCTGTTTTACTTTTCGTTTTAGTAGGACTATTAATTGATTCATTATTACATTTCTCCCCAGTCGATTTATCATTATTATTACTATTTAGAACTAGATTATTTGTTTCTCCTAAACAACTTGACTTCCAAACCTCCACTTCTTCTTCATTGTCAGTGTTTACATTTTTCCTTTCACTATTATCTACTTCATTATGGGATTGTTGTTTTTTATTAGATTCTTCATTACTACTATTCTTATCTATGTAGAATAGCAAAAATTAGAAAAAGCATGAACGTAATTTTTGAGAATATTTTCATTAAACAAATCATCGAATATTCATATGCGTATGTATTCAAAACAAAAACAAAAAGAAATAGAAATATGTACGTAATTTCAACTCACCCTTATCTTTCGTCTTTTCATCACATAGCTTAGGACTTGTAGATGGTAGAATAATGTCTTCTGCTTCAGCTTCGTCATCAGAAAGTCTTAAACGTAAACTATCATCAGAAAATGCTTCTTCTTCCTCTCCGTCTTCTGTCGTCCCATATAAAAGTTCATCTTCTTTTTGTCTTGACAATTCATCCACATTTAGTATTTCAGCGTTGTGTGCATGATCGGTTGCAATGGATGTAGAATCATTCAGTGTATCATTTTTTAATGTCTCCATTATTTAATGAGAGGCAGTGCATAAAGAGATAAATGTCACAGCAGTCCCATTTATTATTTTACAGTTTACTCTTTTATCTGCGAATAATCCAATTATACTACATCATTAATTATTAATTATAATTATAAATATTATTATTATTATTATTATTTACAATATTTATAATAATCTCTTCTCGCAAGAGTAAAGAAAATAATTCAACTTAAGATTCTAATAGTATTCACTATTTTGTTTATTTATTAAATCATAAATATATAAATAATTTCAATCTTATTATCAACATATATTCACATAGATAATAATATTACAATAGTATATATAAACATATATAATTATTAATAATAAACGTATTAAAATATAAATTTGTAAATTATACTCCATTAAAGCTAAAAAGATATTTATATTCTTGAGGAAAACGAAAAAAATATAACAATGTTACAATTATATTAATAAATGACAAATGATACTTAATGTAATAAATCAAATTGATAACAGCTTGCCATCAAAATTTGAACGAATATTTCAGTAACATTTTAAAGTACTTTTTTTGAATGATTGAAATTATTTAAGGAAAAAAATGAGAGAGAGAGAAAGAGACAGAAAATTCTATTAAAACATTTAGAAATAGAAACTAGATCTTTAAATTCACCTAATACACTTGAATAACTGTAAATAATTCCCATTAGTCGCATGACAATTATTTAATTATAATTACATTTCACTGATATGATAAACATTGAATGTCATTTTTTTTATACGATGCCGCGTTAAAAAAAACATTGTTTATGTAACCCATAAATTGTTTTCCATTCTCATTCATATATTAGAACAAAAATTGAGGGAACTTTCGCGATACATTATGAATCAAAATAAAATATAACAATTGTTATAATTATTGCATAATTATTATTTTAATTAAATAATATTGAAAAAGAAAGAATAATAACACGCGTTATTTTACGCATGTTTATGTACACAACTCTACGTACTAATAAGGGAGAAATCGATGAATGAAACCGCGAGAAAGAGAAAGAGAGAAAGAGAGAAAACAAAAATATCCGTTAATAATCACTAAAAGCGAACATATTGTGTAGAAAGTTGGCATGAGTTAAATATTTTCGAAGAATTAGATCAATGCTCACCGCACGATGTCACCACTTATGTCATTTCATATGACTTGCGCGGGAAAAAACGTTGGGCAGACAATTTTGTTTCATTTGTTTTCAAATGACTGACTTAAGTGTCATTTAAGAAAATGTAAAATATATATATACATATAGAAGTAAATCGTACTGATAATAAGTGATATTTATGGACAAATATCAATTAGGGTATTTAAGATAATCGAATGTTTAATATTAAAAGGGCCCTTACAGTCAACTGGTAGTTATACCTTCGACCCTGGCCCATAAATAGTGGAATTTACAAGATGGCGGACCAACAATACATACAGTGTTCAATTCTTAACTAAAAGCTAATATTAATCAGCCGTAATACATTTGGCGAACAATAGGCAACCAAGACCTATCGTAGACCAAAAGAAATTGATTTATTTCGCGTTTGACTGTCCTTAACATCTATGGCGCGTTTAAAAAATAAAAGAATAAAAAAATAACACTTTTGATCACAGCAACATATCAAAACGCACGATTTCGTTGAGAGGATCATACAAGAAGAACATCGCGCGTCATTAATTAACATTAACGAATCGCGAATAATTCGTTTTGATGTATGACTTAGATATTATTTATCGATACATACTAATCAAATCGATTAGCACATTAAGTGTTTCGAAAATGTGCCTAATCTGTATCGAAAATACTCTATTATTTGGTGGATTTTGATAATATTGAAACGTAAATCACTGAACTTAGGCCCCGAGATGTGTCCCGACGAAATAATCCGAAGATGCACGAACTCGATTTCATCGTAGTAGCTGTACGTATTATGTCATGGAGGGGGATACATCCATCCCGATGTAAATAAAGATGTCCCAAAAAGAATCATTTCTCTTTCGAAAATATGTTGCTCCTTCCATTTGTGTTCTGTTTTCTCTTTTTGTAGACTCTTGATAGCATTGCTTGAACTTGTAGACCGGTTTAGAGCAGACATTCCATTTAAACATTACTTTTCTTCTGTCATACACACGTTTCACTAATTTCTTATATTTTATATGTTTTTTTTTTTACATTTGTTAACATTAGCATTTGTTCTATCAGTACGAACATTCATTTAGTTTTAAAATAAAACTACTATTAGTCGAAATATGATAAACAATTTGCATAATGCTTGCAATTGTTTTTTCGATTAAACATTTATCTAATGTTTTTTTTTAAATGCATAAATAACAAATTATACAGATTAGATAACATGTAAATATAAAATATGAAGCATGTACGTGTATGTGTGTGTGTGTGTATTTTATAATCTAAATTTTCTATTGATACATATTGATCTACATGTATAACACTATAATACTATTAAATTTGCAAAATATTAGTTAAGACATTCAAAATTGAACGATCTTGGAAAATAATTAAGCTACGATGGTAATGATTTTTAATTAAAATAAAATAATTATTTATTCGTTTTGAATTAAAAATAATTATTTATTAGCATAATTATTGATACTTTTTAACCTAACAAAACTGACACGTACTCTTTATTGAACGGTCCATGAATAACCCCACTCTCGTACATTCTGCGCCTTTTGATAAGACCAACGTGCGCTGTACTAGTAGTACAATATTTGAGCTCTATAGTGGGAGAAATCATGTGATTATTCGCCAAATATTCGATCGATTTGCATTTCTATATTTCGATTTAAACTTTGATTGTATAATTTTTTATATCTAACCTACAAATATCTATTTTTTTGTTAATTAAATATTTATTCAAATTTGTTATCCATTTCAACTCTAAATACGTTGCCCTGTTACATATGCAATCGATATGATGTATCGATAGTATATAATCGATGTAGTGCATCAAATAGTTTCATTTTAAACAGAAAACAACTAAAAATTATTATAACAAAATTCGTATACAAAAATATTTAAAAAAATGTATTTATTTTAAGTATCACGATAATTGTAATTACGTAATTGCATTGCTTTGCTATTAAAAGACACTATTCGATATAATTCCTATAATTATGTTTCATCGAAAGTAAATTAGAACATAATAGATAGTTGAATAATTAATAGATTCAATGTTTAAGTTTGAAAATGAAATAAAATATCATCGTGTCAACCATTTCGTAGAAGACAACAAGATGGCGTTTTGATGAATTCTAAAATGGTTGCTTTTGAAGTCTAATAGTAATAGTTGCTATTAGTCCTACATATGTATACATATAGTCATGTATATAGTTGGATTTATGTAGCAATGTATGCATGTGCATGACTATGACTAGGGGCATTGTGACTGGACTTGGGACTCAAGGCCCATAGTCATTGGCCCTGATTCGTTTGATAAAAAAGTAAATATCATTGAGATTATTGTTAGTAAAGTTTTAGAAATAAAATTAACAAGATCGCTATTAAATATTGTTACAATATTGTAATAAATACATTAATATGTTACAATTAACAAGAGTTTACAATAAAAATGATTTTTGAAAAATACCAAAATTCGGAATAGGTTAATGTACTCCACCGACACTTGTACCCAACCATAACCATTCCGAATATGTATAGTGATTATTTTAAAAATGGAGGATCCCATTTATACTAATATTATAAATCATAGTGTTATATGTTAACTTACGTCACGATATTGCGTAGTAGATTGTAGTCAATGATGCACATATAACCTGCGTTTAGAAAACGTATGTTTATAACAAATATCCCAAGAACGAAACACACTTCTATACCTCTTTACCATATAACTGCAATGTTGCACTTCGAAGAAGCAACATGCGACGTTGCCGCTTCTTCTCGTACGTACGTAATATTTTCAAATCTTCATTTTATTAAATATTTAATATATGTAAATCTTCTCAATTAATCTGGTAAAGAATATATTAATTGACGTGTAAGTGTCATATTGATGTTATGTAATTAATATATGCCCGTTTTTCCATACATTTTATCAAGCAACGTAATGTTTCTACTCGCGCATGCGTACAAATTCTCACAACCTCTTCCACATTTTAGTCGAATCCTAAAAGTTTTTTTGGAGTTTACATACATTTCGGTTGAATCTTTTTTTCTTTTTCATCCATATGTGGACCCACTCCTATCTTAATTTCATGTTCTAAGGAATACATTATAATGATAATATTTTTTTTCATTTTCCTTGTGTTTTCTTAAACAGGAAAGATAACTCGCATACTGGATTACAACACGACAAGAATTTGGAATACTACGTTTAATAGCTTTTGTATACGATCTTTTTCTATATTTATACGTATTTCCTATGATTAATATTAATAATACATTTCTATTATTAGACATTTTTTTTGCCTCATATGAGTATGTATAAGATACAATAAAAAGAAGAGACATATATTTATGCATTATAAACATGTATCAAAGAGAATATACAAATAAATTGATTAAGTCGCGGCAATGAATATATTATTTTCCTCATTTTGTATTACAAATTGTACGAATATCGATCATATAAAAAAATGAAGAAATACAAAGTAAAATCTTAAAGTTAGAATTCTTTTTCTCTGATCTATTTGATGAAAGAACTATAGAAACACGAAACTGCAAAAGAAAAAAAAAGAAAAAAGAGATAAAGAATTTACTCATTTTATTTTTTAGGTAGCCATCTTTTTTGTGGTTATTACGTAAAAAATATGCTAAACATCTAACACGCGTGCGTTAAAAGTTACTGATATAAGATATAGTAAAACTAATCAAATTACTTACGTTAAAAAATTACTATTGAAACACTAAATGCTAATATTTGTTTTATTTTTACAGATATGATTAAACGATAACCAAAAATATTTCAGGAATGTGAGTCGACAATTTTCTACACGCACAGCAAATAGTTACTTACATGCATTTATAAATGTTTCTCAACACATACACATTTAGGCATATGCTAATTACAAAAATTATTAAGTATAATTAATGAATATGTTAAAAAATACTTGAATATTTTAGAGCATAAAAAGAAATTATATGAAAAAAATTATTAATAAACCATGCTGTCTTAACTTGAAAGTTAACTTTGAGTTCTAGTATAATCATAAATCTATTTAAAAAAACAAGAAAGAATCAATTTACATACATAATAGAATTCATATGAATATATATAATGATTTTTTATCTTTCATGTAAATGTGTATGTGTAATAAATATGTGAAAAGTTAACTATTAAATTAATTATGTAAATAAAAGTGAATAAACAGGTTGTAAAGTTAACTATTAAAAATTCTTTAAACAATGCTAGGTGAAATAGTCGAATTTTTTTGATATATTAATAATGTTTTAGTATTTAATTATATTGGTTCATTACGATTTTTTACAAAAAGGATTTTATTAATTTATTATGTTAAGTCGATAGGAATAAATAATTTTCGAAATATTAATGTTTTTACATTTACTTTATTTCAGCATATCATTCTATCGAGCTTAGTCAATTAAATTCATATATACAAATATAGATTATTGCATATTTATACATACTTATGACATTCGATAAAAAATAAATTACATTTTCACGCGTAATTTTTTACTTAAATTACGCAATAGCAGTATTGTAATATCGTAAATATAATCTGTAAAATTTTAATGCAACATATTTGAAACGATCTAATAGAAAATAAATTATATTGGAAGTCATTTACGTTATTAAAAAAATATGTGCTGTAATTATCTTTTTAAGTCGATTCTTTTTCTTTCAATTTTTCCTCATATTTTTTTTGTCTTTCTTCATTTAAACCAAATTTAAAAGAAATATATAATTAATTATAGCTTTTTACTGCACGTTACTGTTTGTTAATTTCTTGTTACTTAATCTTATTAATAAAATAAATTTTTCATTTATATCAGATGCAATATTGTTTCAATATATGTTTCTATTTCTTTTTAAGTATTTTTTCTTTTCTTTTCTTTACGTGCTTTTTGACTTTACTTTTCCTCTTCTCAGCTTGTTGTTCTTTGATAGCTTTTTTCCGAGCCTATAAAAACAAATTCATAAAAAAATGAACTCTTTGATTATGGTACGCTCAGAAATGAAACACGACACTAGCGTTTAGTCCGTCACTCAGTCAACAATATTAACATGTTGAGTGTGGAGCTGATTGTGCTCTATTTTCCGTTCAGGCTGCAAACGACGATCATTCGATGGGATATTCCGTTACATATTTAAAAAATCAGTACACACGAATCGTAGTAACAAATTGGTGATTTTCTTTTGTTTATACCGAATATACATTCTACTGAATTAATTGCGCCGTTCGCATAGTTCAAGCACACAATCGCACATTTGTCATTGCAATGTTGTGTTACTTTCTTATTTAATATTTAACCAGATACTTTACCGAATGATCGTCGCTTGTCGCCTGAACGGAAAGCAAAGCGAAATTATCTCCGCACTTAACGTGTAATAGATAAAATAAATAAATAACCTTTTTACTCTCCGGACTTTCATTACGAGGACGTGCGGAATTAGTAAATTTTTTTTCACTTTCTTTGCTATCGCTGTCTGAATCCACATTACTCGAACATATACTTTCATCATCACTACTGTCTCTTTCTTCTTCTTCTTCTTCTTTTCCGTTATTATCTGTGATACTTTTCTTAGATTTTTTGGTTATAACTTCAGGTATTTTATTAGGTTTGGACAAATCTGCTTTCAATCCTATTAATGTTTTATAAATCAAATCTTCTTTCTTTGTTTTAGCAAGTTTTATATCTCGTTCTACATCAATCACTTGATTTAATCTTTGTGGTATATAAGCTTGTTTGAAAACTTGCTCGTTTATTTCTTGTTCGGGATAACTTTCTTGATCTATTCTTTCATGTACTTGGCTTGACATTATATTTAAATACTCATCCATGTTATTTTCATTCACTGTTGGATCCGTTATGAAGTCAAACAATGCTTTTACAGACATTACGCATACGTCATTTTTCTTAAAATACTCTAAAAAAGAAATATAAATGATTACATTAATATTGGAATTAATTACAAAACATTTGACTTAGTATTTATTTCTAGACTAACCACTAATATTTGTACAATCTTTTCGAAGAAATTCGAGAGCCATAGGATGATCGTGTTCGACCGATTGAGATACATCTATTAGTACAAGAGATCCATCGCGATAGAGCATATTGTATTCACTTAAATCAGCATGAACTAATTTACATTTATGATACATTTGCCACATCATTTTGATGCATTCTGTATAAAGTTTTCTATACTTTGAAGCATTGATATCAGCATCTTTCAATTTAGGCGAAGGCCAACCATTGGTACCAATAAATTCCATTAATAATACATGACTACGTAATCTAATTGGTTTAGGAGCGTTTATACCTGCTTGGTTTATGCGTGTTAAATTTCTAACTTCTTTTTCAGCCCATGTCCTTACCATTTTGCGAGGATTATGACGACAATATCCATGCCGAAAACGAAATTCTCCAGTTACGTACTTATCGCGATCTTTGAAACGTAAAATAGAAGTTTTGTAAATTTTTATAGCAAATTCATTTCCGGTTTTAGATATCGCATGATAAACATTAGCTTCTTTTCCAGTTGAAATACAGCCATTTATTTCACCTATTATTCCTTGATTTAAGAATTTAAACAATATCATCTTAGTACGAGCATCCATAACTTGTTCGACTGTTGCTCGATCATGTTTATCTTTAGTTCTAATGCGATCCTTATTAATACGTTTGTCAGTTTCTATGAGAAAATTAGCAGCATGTCCTGGCAGTGATGGACCTTCATATTTTTCCATATTGATCTTATTAGAATAACGACGAAATAATTTATCATTTGGTTGATAATTAGATATCTTATTGGAAGCAGATTGTGCATTAATACTCCGTGCATTTACATTTTTGACTACATCTTTCCGATTATTTCCAGCATTATCTATATCCCAATAATAATTATCATCACTGAAATACTGTTCTTCGTCATCGCTTTGTGTTAACGTTAATTCTGCAATATCTTTGACCAGTGTGCATTGAAACAATGGTGCTCCTCTTGATTTAATCGATCTGTTCATAATTAATGAATATTAGAAGTAAATAATTATCAGGAAATTCTAAGTATATAATAATATAAAATCAAATATTAATATTTATCAATTTGAAGGTTATATATATCAAAAGTAAAATAAAATAATGAAAATTTACGTACGTTATTTCAGTTTCATCAGCATCACTAAATTGTCCTTCCTCATGTGTTTCGAACATGATAATAATATCAAACGTATTTATTAAGTAATTTGAAATTTAACTTACAATATTGCAATGTGCTAATATAATGTATAACTATAAAATAATTTTAAAAAGATTCTAATAACAAACGTTACTTATTTTATGCAGATTATATTTAAAAATGAATGAAATTAAGTTTAAAATTATATTTCTTCTATTGAATATTGTTAACTATTTCGTAATGTTACTTTTACAGTATATTAAAGCTATGTACAATGAAGCAAAGATGTTATATATATATATATATATCGTATTCATCGGATTGATTTCCAGCGCCACTCTCTTTATATTATTTATTCTATGACTTTTACGTAGGCGTTTTTTTGTTTACTTTCAACATTTAAAATATATCAAAGTATATGCACAACTGTATTATTGGATTAACTTAAAGTAAGTTATCTAATATTACGTTAATGTAAATTCAACTATTTTTCTAAAATGTTTATTTACATAAATTATATGTTTTTTTATACATTATAATGAAAATAAAAATACAGATGCATATATTTTGAATATTGTTTTATTTTATATTAAACTTGCTATATTAATTGCATTGATCTATGAAACAAAAGTAACAAAAAATGTATGCAATTTTGAATATAATATTAATTTAAAGTATGAAAACAATTACTTTAACAACAATATCAATTTGATGTACTCTCTCTCACAATTCAATTAGTTGAATACATTAAATATAATAGCAATGTTGGATACCATGCGTTCTGTAGAAGATTGTAACGCTATACGTTATGCTTCGTACAGAACTGCTGTTAAGATGCAAGTAATACACAGAGAACTTCAGAGTAAGTAGAATATTAAATAGAAAAAAGATTTGAACATCTTATGTGTAAATAATATATAATTATTTACTTTTGGTTCTTTAGTGCAACACGTACAGCTAGAATTAATAGCTGGTGTATTTGAACGTCACAGATTATCAATAACAGAAAATTCAGTAAACTTGGATCCAAACGAAATAGAAGACGTTCTCTCAGACATTTATTTTGCTGCTCGCAAAGAATCTAACTTTGACTTTGATATGGACCATGTAACTAAGCTTGCCGTTAATTATATTTTATGTACCTTCGACAAGTAAGTATTAATTAATATTGTTATAAGAATTGATATATTAAAAAGTATGAAATATTTTAGAAAAAACACTAGAAGTATTACAGTTTTTTCTGTTAAACTTGCTTTGATATTGATGAGCTGTGGAAGATTGCAAGAGAAGTACGGATATCTTTATCAGCAGTTGGCCGATCATAATGCTTGTCTCTCCCGAGCTGGTCTGCATACATTGTTAACTAACATATGTAAAATAACAGAAATGCTTGGAGAAAACATGACCTATGGATATCATCTTATTCAATTGCATATTGATAGTTGTTTTGAAAAGGTAATATATGATATTTCAATATTTTATTATAAAATGTAATTGATGTATACTTAATACTTTTATATTTCAATTGTAGTCTCAAGGATGTTTAGGAGTTACGGAATCTGAATTTGCTACATGGATTATGCAAGAACCACCTTTACTTGTTTGGATAACGACGTTCAATAGAATGAAATCTGCAGAAAACAGTGAGCATCGCGTATATTTTTAAAATAATGTTTTGCATACCTTTGTTCAACATAATATTTTCAAGAATTTGTATCAAACAATTTATTATTTCAGTTGTACATAATATTAAATGTTCTTCTTGTAAAATAACACCGGTGCAAGGACCAAAATACTCGTGCTTAAAGTGTACCGGCTATCATCAATGTCAAGAATGTTTTTTACTTGGTAAAACAACCAATAAACATAAATTAAAACATCCAATACGGGAGTATTGTGCGAAGGTATGTTATTTTTATTTATATCTTATAAAAATAAGAAATTTTATTAATATTTTTTTTTCGTAGACATCTAATCGCGAAGCAACAAAATTAATTATTGAATTAATTAGAAACAAACTGAGATTATGTCCTTCCAAAATGGTTATAATGAGCCCAGAAGAATTGCAACAAAGTGCTGTTAGGTTTGTTAATAAATTATAAATTTTTTTTGATAATGCTTATGTGCTTCCTCTATCTAATCGTTTATATTTCAGTAGCGTAACAAAGCAATCAGATTGCTCCACATTAAGAAGTACAATAAAAAGGAAAATTTTAAGTGATCCTCAAAAGGAATTGCAAAGCATTATAACACATTTGGAAGAAGAAAATAAACAACTTCAAATAGAATTACTTGATATTCAAGGAGCTAGAGCCGAAAGACTTCATCGTCATAGAGCTACTATCGAGTCCCAACTACAACGTTTAAAAATATTAAAAGTACACGATTATAATAAAAATTATTTTTTACAGGAATATTATGATAATCTATTAATAACGTTATTAAATTTATTTTTCAGAAATACTTATTTGCAGATCCTCCTTACGATCCTCCACAATTTATTAATCGTCTACAAAGCACGCCGATGCTTCCACTGACTGCAAGAGTCGCAGCTTTACCTTTAGAATTTGAATTAAGTCCGATAATACGTCAAGACACTCTAGAAAGACATTTGTCTAATGTAGCTGATAGGAACAAAAAACAAATCTCAAATAATTTCAATACATCGTTAGACAAAAATGATACGAATGGTCTTACTTGCATTGAAGAAGCTTCTACAAGTTCTACGTTTGTTAAAGCACCTAGTAGCACGTGTATAGAATTGAGCACATGGATTGGAGGTAAATAATGATTACTTTATAATAATAGCATGCACTTAAAATGTAATATAAAAATATATGCGATGCACGTTTTTATATTATTTTTACATCTGTGTTGTATTTAGGAAAACGATCGGAATTAAGTATACCCGACAGTGGCTTTTCTCAGTGGTTAAATAACGGAGATCCAAATTACAAAGACGATAGACAAACGAATAAACTTGTAATAGGAAATATTGCTTGTAATGAATCACCGATAACAATTTCCGATTCTCCCGTTGGACTTCAAAGAGACAATACACCTTCTTCTTTACAACGTCCTGATAAACATTCGCAACACAGTAGTTTACAAAATATTCAAGGAGATCTCAACGATATATTAGATAGATTGCAAAACATGGTTGCAAACGATTGTTTACTGGAAGGTAAGTAACGCTAAAACAGTTTTCGTTTGTTTTTAATTGTTATGCGACGACAGTAATTATTAGTATAGTTATAAAAATATCGTATATATTAAATATTATGAATAATTTATAAGAAAATTATATGTTATTTGTATTTCTACTCGTACTTCTGTTTTTTTTACATTTTATGATTGTTTTACAATAATAAGTATTCTTATTGCATACAGAGTCCTACGTTGTCAATGATAATTGCAAATTAAAGCGAGCAGCAACAGAAATGGAAGATCTGTTAACTGATCTTATTGAAGGCATGGAATCTCGTAGAACTAAACTCACTACTAACGTTTGAGAATTTTATAAGCAAAGAGCGGAATAAGACACTTTCCGCATGTCAATGATAATAATTATATTATTATTTTCCGTCCACGTTTGACTATGAAAAACGTAATAATATAAAATTTTTAAAATCAAGTGTAACCACCTTGTAAAAATAAATGAAACAGTAAAACGTTTTGATGAAAGATATATAAGAAAATTGTTGTATTGTAAATACATTTAAATTCAATTGAAATGCATTTAAATATACAAGATGGTATCACTTGAATTAAATTATAAAATATATATATGATTAGATTTTTGTATATTATCTGCAATAATCGAACGAAAAAAAAAATATTTTATACAATATTTGAATTTACTTTATGTAATATAAAAATTGTAAAGATTTAATTATTATAATTTACAAAAAACAAAACAAAAAAAGATTAAAATAATACTGAGCATATTTCCCAGTCTTGCATATAAAACGAAATGTCCTCCTTTAAGTTAAAAATGTAGCGATAAGTTAAAAAATGATGTACAAAATCATTTTCATCGATATACGATGAACAGACTAGAGTATCAAATATTATGCACTCTGTGCTAAAATTGTCAAATTGTAAGAATACAATATCGGTACTACATACATTTTGTTAAATACTGAATAAATATTAAAGTATTATTATACTTTTTCTGTTAACAACGTATCCGTCAAATACGTTATTTTAAGGAGCCTATAAAAGTGTAATTTCTCTGATGGCAAATTGACGGTCCATGCCATCACACGAATTCCTCGATTATGCCATTTTTCGATTACACGCCTAAAAAAAAAATTAATTGATTTTTAAATTCTTATATTTAATTAATTAACCCTTTGGATTGTAAACAGCACCTACAGACATTCAGTTTTATTTCTGAATGCTCTGCAGTCAAAAGGTTAACAACTATGCTGAGTATTATCTAAATGTTTAATACATGATTTCAATGTTCGATATCAACAATAAACTATTATAGATAAATGTGAACTTACAGATTAATTATATCCTTGTGTAAAAGAATAATAGATATTCCTACAATATAATAAATAAAACTTGGTAATGCCCATTCGTATAGAGCGTCCATTATACAAGCTGCCAAATGTTTAAATGGATTAACGAAACGCGATGGTCCTGATCCATTTATTCCTAAATAAGATTCTCTCGAGAAGTAATGTGGTCTCCAAGCTAAACTCGATACAATGCGTGGTTCTTTTCTTCTAATCTAAATTTTGTTTATAAGAACAAATAAATATATTCTTATTTTTGTTTTAAGGCAATTTTTTGCATTAATTTTTACGATATGTATAAATGTTAAACACGTACCAAATATACAATCACAGGATTAAAACTTGAAACAACTGCTTTTTTAAATAAATTTGGATTTTCTTTGTAAGCGTCTAATATCACTTGTATTATATCTAATCTCGTTTCCTTAATATCAATAATCACTCTCAAATCATTCTTCAAACATGTTTGTAATGCATCTTTGAATAATGCAATTTTTTCTCCCTCAGAAAATTTATTCCTTTGATGCAAACAAAAAATAAACTACATTATGAATAAAAGAAACAAAAATATTGTAGAATAATCAGATTATATTAAATACCTAAGTGGATGATTATATGTGATATCTAATTCCTTCAATTGATCCCAGGTCATTTCACTAACTACACCCTTTTGACCCGTAAGTCTTTCGATATTGGCATCGTGAAATACTATTGGAATGTTATCTTTTGTGAGAGTTAAATCGAGTTCAACTGCAGTACATCCTTTATCTTTACTCTGTGAAATAACAAATATAATTAAGAATTTACATTAAATAGTATAAATATAAAAAAGATATATTAAATTTTTTAATTATAGTAAAACAAAATATTTTTGTTAGCCATACGAAGTAATTGGAGTATTTCGTTCTCTTTTAATATAAGTATGGTTAATAGTTATAGTATTGAAAAAGTTATATAAATATTTAAAACATTACAACTACTCGATTAGTATTTGTTTTCAAGCCACACCAGAGCAAGCAACTGTTTATTTTATTAAACAAACGATATAAAAAGGATTACAAATAAACACAATGTTAAAAATGCTTTAAAAATTCATCAAATGAAGAAAATAATAACTTAAGCCATCAATGTATTAATAAAATTTGAATATATAAATTAATAGTGCATATATATATAACAATATTAGAATTCTAACATTTGGAATATTTTGTACAATTTATCTTTGTGTGTCGTATCCCTATAAATATGACGAAAATGAATGTAATGAAAGAAAAAAATTCATTAAATCATATAATTTTACATTTTGAAAAGCCGACAAGCTGTTCTCAGGGTAATCATATCCTCCACCACGATGAGCTACAACAGACATGCAATATCGTTCTCCATCACCCTGGTTGTCAGTCGTATGTATTTCCTTTCCTATGAAAAAGGGATTCACACCGAGTACTTCATTCACAATACTTGCACGTGGAGGTGGAACTCGGACTAGTTTCAATCCAATCAATATGATCAAAGAACCCCAAAAAATCCAAGGTATACGGAAACTGTATAAAATGCTCACTAACACGGTCCACGTTGCTTCCAGTAATATCCACAATAAAGCACTATTTAAAATTAGTTCGACAGTCCCATGCATCTTTAGAAATATAATAATCTGTAGAATATTTTAACTTTATGTTACCGTTACTTTTGTAATATCAAAAATATGTGTGCGTTATACTAAATGTATATATATTCTAATTTTAGTCTTGTGTCATTTAATAATGTCTCATTGCATAATTACGCAAATTCGATGATTCATACGCTTCGTAATATACGCATTATGTGTAAAAAGTATTTGTCGTCTTAGGCCAATTTTAATATTTATTTAACTACACAATATATGCCATCCTGTTTAGTAAGCCTGTAATCATAAAAATAACTTCTTGTTTCAAAATATTAAATATCAATTTGTAAATGTAATTAAAATTTAATTGTCTTAATACATAGAATTAATATCAATCATGTTATCAATTTTTAAATTTTGTAAACAATCAAGAAGAAAGATTAAAGGCGTGACATATAATAACACAACTAAATCGAACTAATTATTGATTAACCACATTTGCGTATACACTTGTCGATCAATAAATGATTGATCTTAATAATGGTCATGATTATATATTAAAGTATTTTAAAAATAAATTAATCATTTTCAATATGGAATCGAGTACTCCGAAAAGCATCGCGTCAAACTTACGCTATTATCAAAGGAAATATTTACTTTGACCCTTATCAATAGATTTGTAACTTGAGTACAGATAAACTTCCTTTATAAGAATCATATGACACAAACTAGAGCAAATAGTAGTTTATGTAGGTGCATTAGATTCTATCCAATCATTAATATACATTTTTATAACTTCCATTATATAATTTGACTAAATTATTTAAATATTATATATATATATGTATATACACAACAAAACGTTTGAATATGTTATGAAAAATAATAACTCTACTAAAAATAATATAAATCGACCGTTACGTTCAACGTCATTGTGACAGCATCTTAACGTTTCGTTGAAAAGAAGCTTTAAGGTTGCTGTTCTCTACCCATATTTAACAATGTCAAAAACAAGGGTTTATGCCAACGGTGAACGTTTTGATAATTCTTAAGATTTTAACGAACAAGATCTCATTTATAAGATGAAAGTTCGAATGAGGAGGCAGGTTTTTCGAATTTTAAAAAAAGATTTATTTTCTGTTAAAACTACTTTAACAAATACTGTTTTTTTTTAAAGCTATAATTGAAATTAAAATAAATTCAAACAAAACTCCTGTTGAATTTTATTTGATATAATATTTATATTTTTTTGCTACAATAAAACTACAAGTACATAATCATGTTGAATATAAGTATATATTATAGGAATCAATTATACTCTGCTTGAGATTATATTAAAACAAAAGAGAGAGAAAAAAAAATTCTACTGCTCGATGAATAAAATAAAGACAATACATAAAATGATATATTCTAGTTAATAATATAACTATCACAGTATTAATTATGTTTGCGATTTCATCTTATTTTTTTTTGCATGAATAACGTTGAGCCTGTACACTAAACTTATGTTAACACGAGAAAGCTACTTTGCATTGAGACATATAGAAAAATAAATTTCCGTATTACTTAGAAACCGCACGTTTTAATATTTTGTAATAAATTTATAACCGATGTAATGAATTGTTTTTGTTGTTTACATAATTATATTCATGCTTGTAAATGAATATTTTGCAAATAGAATGTCTTACGATTAGTGCATAAATGTTATTAATACTTTTTTTTGTAATGTTAATCAATCATATGGCATTCATTTTATCAATGTACAAAATACCAAGTAAAATATTCATCAGGAATATTGCACAGCAATTCTGTCGATGGATTAAATATTTTCTTCAGTCTTGTTTGTCTGTAACTTTGTTACAAATGACCTAAAAACAAAATGTGACAATGATACTGTGTCTGATGTAAGAAAACATTTTGTATTTGCAGGCACTGTTTGCAGTCAAAGGGTTAAAAGTGTATTTTATATTTTTAAATATAATTATAAGAATAATTCAAATGATATTTATTTTATGTACTTACTCAATTATGTTTGGTAATGCCTTATATCGACAAATATAGTTATGTCCAAATCCATATGATGCATCTATTCGAAACATCTTGATTTGATTCGTATCATTGTTATGATATTTCAATCCTGCTTTGTATAACTAAAAGATATATATATATAGTATAGTAATATATATTAATTAACTATTTCAGTACTTCCTCTGTCATGTATATAATATAAATATACCTTTTCACCCAAATAAAATGGAATAACATTATCATCTTCGGCATGTAATATCACAATAGGACAAGTAACATTTTCAATGTGTTTGTCCGATTCAAACCGTAAACCATTATGATAGAAAGGCTCAACAATTAGCCAATGGAACCATGGTAAATGTTTAAACATCTATATTAAAATAAATAAAAAATTAGAAATTAATAAAATGACGAAGCTTATTTTTAAAAATATATAAATAAACAAGACCTGGGCAAATGGATGTTCACTTATTTCATCAACGATATTATTGAAAGGTGATTCGAGTATCAAACCTGTAGGTGTTACATCCATAGCAGATAATAATGCTAATGCATGTGTTGACACCCTATACTCAAAGAATTCATATTACAATATTTTATACATAAAAATAGTAAACATATATTTTAAAATAATTAACAAGTCGACTGCAACATTAATAATTCGTAACTGGCATTTGCTTTTTCAAACGAGCAACAAGGGTCATCCATTACTGACGCTACTACATTATTTTATATTTTATCTTAGAAGTGTGACTTCTACGACAAAATATATAAAACGTGCATGGCAGTCAAAGTGTTAACATATTACAAACAATGTTTCGATTCTTACCCAGTACCCAAAGAATGTCCCCAAACAAAAACAGGCGCGGTACCATTAACTTTAGCCATTACCCATTTAATAATATATTTAGTATCATTGATAATACCTATTTCTGAAAGATCTGCTTCATCGCTATCTCCGTAACCTAAATATCATATTTTTTAAGATTATACATTATTAAATGAATCAGAGAATAAATTTAAAAAATCTTTACACTTACTTCTGTAATCGAAGCATATAACATGATAATCCAAATGTTGGAAAAGTTTATAAAGTTCTAATCTGTGTCTGCTTGCTCTGTTTCCACTATTTCCATGCATATATAAAAAAACTGGCTTATTACTGTCATACAATGAAGCTTCAAACGCTTCGTTCGTTCCAACAAAAGAATCATTTGTTAAAGATTGTGGCAATATATGCCTGAAAACAATTATACAATGATGTAAATACATGTAAATATAAAAATAACATTAATTATCCGACACGTTAAGCATCAAGCTTCCTTTTATTGAGCTTTTCATTTAAACCAGAATGATCTATCGATCATTAATGACCTGCGTAACTTGAATAGAAAGTCGAAAGTCGAAAGTGTAAATTAGATATAATTAATAATAGATTTCTAATAGATTTTTAATAGTTTCTAATAATTTTGTAATAATTAGATTTCTCATATTATTTACCATACTCCTAATTTAACATGTTCATCGGTATGCAAGTAAAAATTCCTAACTCCCTTCAAGCCAAGATCCTCTGGCTTTGAAAAATCTGTGTTAAGTGGCCAATGTACTAAAAAATCAAATTTATTTTATTATTTACAGAATAAGTAATAGATTTGTTGGTATCGGTGATTTATTAAAAGACAAACCACTTACCAAAATTTAAGAAAAGTATTTTTCTTTGTACTGTGTAAGAGTAATGAAATATGAGTGGTAGTATACCAAATAAAATGATATATGTTACAATAGATATTTTTATAATCCACCATAAACATCTGAAACGTATATAGATTTTATTAACAAAATTATAAATGCATACATATGACATTTGTGAATAAAATGAAATGAAAAATATTATTAAAAATGATATAATTACATCTATTTATAGTATATACTTATATGTTATACTCCAAGTTGGAATAAATATGTTGGGAAAGCGTTATAATAAATTAAGGTTGTTAGGATTATTAGACGATTTGATTAGCCATAAATAATTCTCGAGCAATACAGAAAAAAAAGAAGAGAACAATTAAACATTTGATACCAGAGAATAATTAACCACAGTTTTTGATTGATTGATTTCAACAAAGCAACTTACATTCCTGTGTACCAAATATTAAGGATGATGAATGGTATCACCGCTGCTAAGAGTAGATAAGTCGATCGCATTGTTTGTTTGTTTGTTTGTTTGTTAGTAGCTACCAAAGCTTAAGAATTCCTTTTCACAAGTCCTTTTGTGATGTAAAATACTTTTAGTTAGCAAAAAGATTTAAAGGAAGTTATTTATTATTTATTAAAGCATATTTTTTTTATGGAATGTGTTAACAATCAACGTGTTATCAATTAATATATCAAATAGATGTATTTTAATAGTATTTTATGAATAGATATTAATATTTATGACTCTACAAAGAAATAATCTGATAGGTATTTTGTTAGAGTTTTATTCCACAAGTTTACATTGCAGAGATAGTAAAAGTAATTGCATAATCTCTCTATTTTTTAATTTAAAAATTTTCCTCTAATATATAAATCAAACATAAT